GTGCATCACTTTAACCCCTACATCACCGAGGATTTGCTGACAATGAATGGTTTGATTTGAATATATATAGCAACAACCCTAACCCTAACCCTTACTTTCTGTACGAATCATTAATCTTCAACGTCAGTTTGGCGGATGGAAATAAGTGTTGACCGCTGGAAACTTGCACATTTGGTCTGCCATATGTGCAATTAAATTAAATTAGAAAAAAATAAGCATTTAACGAGAATAATTTTCACAAACTTTCCAACCACCATTTATTTCCACGATTGTATTATTATTATTTCCTCCTCTTTGAGTCACGAGACAGTAAGTAAATTACATAAGCTTAACTCCCTCTTTTCCTCTTTTTTTCAAAAAATGTAGGCTTACAATTTACTTTAATGCAATAAGTGTGATTTAAAACTAGAGCAGTATTATTTTTAATAGCATTATTGACTCATAATTGCTTTTATTTCCTTCAGCACTTACCCTGTAGAATGAATTTCGTCCCGAAATTTCCCCCAAGCTACTGCGCGCGGCTCCGAAGAGTCACATCCGAGTTTTACCTGAAGAGTTTTGTCATCGGTGTTTTGCACTACACAGGCAAGTTTTTCTTCTCCTTTCACTGCAATAATGTTAAGACAAACGGCTAACGAAACAATTAGAATTAGAAAACGTCGAGGCTCTCGCCATGAAGCCATGTTGATGTCTTTCACTTTTCTGACACACTGCACGTGATCTAGAATGGGTAACCTGCGGTAACGGGTTTTATAGCACAGAATCCGCCAGGTTTCACATATCCCATAATACACTTTGTTTGCGTGTTTCTTGCCCCGCTCCCAAACGCCCGCATTACAGTGCGTTCAAGAGCATTGTGCGGTAAGACCGTACCTCGTACCTAGCCTGCGAAAACATCCGTTTCTCCTCGCTCTTCGCCGCTGGGGACCTTTCGCGCGAAACGTCCCCAGCGGCGAAGAGCGAGGAGAAACGGATGTTTTCGCAGGCTAGACCGTACCAGCCTAACACGCGATTTCGATTTGCACCTGACGTGTAGGGGAGTAGCCATGATATTTTCCCCAAATCCACTGGCAATTGGGTCGTAAGGAAACCCTGAAGCATAATGATTGTCGGGGAGGGAGGGGTCAGTGCTCCCCGGAATGATTTCACCGTAGGTCCGTCTGAAATAGCTGGAAGTGAGCTGAAGTGGGTCTAAACTCCTATCCTTCTTAAATACTTTTACTGATGGTTTATAGTTTTTGAAAATCAGGCAGTTACTGCTCCTTGAATTGCGTCAAACTCTTTACTTGACTTCAATAGAACCATACTGCATTCATCCCTGTCATGCGAGGGCTTCGAAATAAAGTGAGTTGACTCGTTGCCCGCGGGCATGACTCGTCACAGTTTTAGTTTTAGTTACGTTTAACTAAAATGAAACCGCCGAGACACTTGGGCTGTTTACCCAGGTTTTGTCCCTCTCGGCTTATAGCTTTGCTCTAATTTCTCTCTGTGCCCACTCTAAGCACCAACATTTTGGTACACCAATCGAAGCGGCGCTACAAAATTTGTATCTGTTCGATATTTGGTATCTGGGACCACTGTAACTGTTTCATCGCTGTTGTGGCACCCCTGCCTATTAAGCATTTTATTCATTTTAGGAAGCTAACAAAATAAAATGAAATAAGTATAGGGGAACTTGAGTCTTTTCGAAATTACAAGCTAAGCATAATATCCACCTGAAATCAAGTATCGTATCGTATCGTATAAGTTTCACGAAAGTTTTAGACGCAATTTGACGTTTTACGAACTCGGAGTTTCTTAAGCCAAAAGAGATATTTTGTGACTTAAGTTTTTATCTCTTGAATAAAGTATTGTTTTGTACTGTATTATAGCAACATAGGGCAGATCATGATCTCTTATCGAGCTTGGCATAACACCAGTTTCAATAACTTGGTGAGGGTTTGATGTTATAATCACATCGATCGACAACTCAGTAGTTTTAGTTGCACGAGTTGATCTTGAAACCAGCTGTGATAAATTGAAGCAATTGCAATAATTGCCAGTATCAAGCAAGTAGCTTCCCATAGGTACACATCACTCAGAGCTACGCAGCTGGTGTTGCTGGAATGCGCAAAAGGAACTTCACGCTAGTAATGACTATAAAACGTTTTATTGTCCTGTAAACTCTTACAAACCTTTCAAAAAATGTCATTTTACTCTCCACTTTTAACTACCTTAACCATACTCTGATTATTAAGTAAATAAACCCCTTCCGGCGACTGGTATATCGGAGGATAATGCCCTCAACTGAGAGATTGTCCGAAAAATAAACATTTCTTCGAGGACAAATGTGAAATTTTGCGTCAAATTTTTTTTATCAAAAATTAAATGTTACATGAACCAGGCTATTTCTGAATAACCGTTACTCTCTCTTTATAACGAGTCCCGGCCATCCATAGTTTTTCTTTCTATATTTTTTTGAAAGGGTTTTAGCAAACAAAAGAACAGAATGGAAAAAATATAGGTGTATTTTTTTTTCGACTGTACTCTTCTAAGTTTCCCTTTTCGGCATGTTCAACAACATAAGAATGCTTATAGCTTGAACGTGTTATTTCCAAGAGACCATGAGAGGTTCAAAGTTCCACGCATCGGGGTGCCCCATGGGACGTTTCCAACCGGATGTGCTCCACTTAAATACAGGCTGCTGATCATGGGTAGGACCGCTGACCGCCATGCACTGCAATTCCTTCATCATCTTTGAATTTGTTATCTAAATACAGATAAAGCCAATAGGTTAAGAACGAGACTAAGCGAAACACAAAGCCTCATCGCAATATTTTTATTTGCGTTCTACGGAAGGCTACACGTAGATTGCAAGCAGTCTCTCTTTATCTTTAGATTTAGTGAGGGGAGTGCACGCGCGAGCGTCGAGCCTCTCCCATCTCGCGCCTTCACGCATGCGGGTGGTCATTTACGTGTCTCACGCGTTTCGCTCGACGGACAAAGAAAATAGAGACTGCTCGTAGTCAAGGCTACGCATTGCCTTAAACTGAATCCGCTGCGATGAAGTACATCAAGCATCCACTATTTTCACAAAGACCATAGAGCACCTTGCTCCCCGCCTCCAAATTTTGCATAACCATTGCTTTTAACTTCTTCTAGATATTACAGTCATCCCAAGAGATATCGAAGACAATGGTTACATACATACATGTTTTTCATTTGGAGTCTTATACAATAACTAGTATACCAACTATTTTCAAATAACTATGCACACACTTTTTTTTTTCGGGGGCGTAGGGGCGTAGGCGGCGGAGGTAAACAAGGTGTATTATGGTCTATGTGAAAATGGAGAATGGAAGAATCCCATTTACTCCCATAGGTGGTTGTTTTTAAGAAACAGGCACGAGAAAGAAGATATTTAATTAATGAGGTTATGTCACGCTATTTGATATCTTTTTAGTCCGGCTAAAATTTGTTTTCCCAAAGAACTGAAATAATAGCTTTGTTGTTTAAGGCAATATCCAGACGCTGAAACTGCCGCTTCTCGTCCTTTGCAATGAATGCGCAAGGATAGACATGGAATGAAACTTTTTAAAAAATTGTAATTTAAAGCTATTATTGTAGTGATGCCAGTTGATATCTTCTTCATAACTATACAGGAACATTACGTGCATGGGTAAAAACTCTAAGTAACGAGTTGAGCACAGAATTGACCTAAAACAGCACTATTCTCATGATATAACCCCTCAATGTAAGTAAGAGCTAGCGTGCGCAGTCAGTGTTTGTTCCAGGAATTGGAGCGTCACTATTGAGAGTGAACCGTCTTTCGTGCAATCTTTATTTTTCTTTACAGTAGTAGCCTGAAAAAACAGCCGCGAGACGTCGGCTGCAGGCGAGAATAGGGAAGCAAAGACGTTTTTCAGCGACGCACGTCAGCCTGGAAGTGGACTTTTTTCATTCTTGAGCGGTATTTTTGCCCAAATTTTTGGACAAATCGTGTCTATAATAAGAAAGAGAGTAGTATTTTTAAGAGACTCTTTAGATATGTATTTATTATTATTAAATATTGTTATGTAGTTTATACTTCATATGTAACAAAAAACCTGATGACTTTTTACCGTGTTAAAATCAAGATTTGAGATTTGAGATTTGAGAGACGAAGAAATACAAATTTGGTATTTGTCAATTCATTTTAAAATGAAAAAGATCTCATTTCCGGTCGACGTGCGACGCTCAAAAACGCCTTTGCTTAAGCTCCCTATTAAAGACTGTCTGAGTGAGTGCCGTCCTGAATCAGCTGAATCCTCTATTGTTGACCGGAAGAGCGTTTCGACAACATGTATGCTGGTCATCTTCAGATTCAAAATGAGTTCTGAATAGTCAGTTGATTGTATTAAATCTGATTAGTCAGTACCATCGGAAAATCAGTTAATTTTGGTTTCTTCAGAATCCCAATCACTCGGTTTCTCTCTAGGCTGCTTTAAGCCCCGTCTGTCTATGCTAAAAACATAACTTAATAGCAAAGCGAGACGTACCTTGGCATCAGTTCCGCCGCTCTTTCTGTGTCCCAGTGCACTAATTGGATATTTTCCGTCTGCGGGATTAAGATCTGAGCGAGCAGAGATGCCATTCTCTCCACTGTAAGGTGGGGTGCAGTTACAACGAGACAAAGGGTCCTTTTTAAAGTCATTGTATCTGAAATACCAAAACAGTTTCTAAGCTTAACGGGTTTTAGCTAGAATAGAGACCTTTAGATTCAAAGACGAGAAAGACTACGAGGGCGAGATTTTCTTCGCGTATTCGCAAAACAAATAGACATCCCGGAAAGCTTTCCTGCACTTTTTTCATCAGAAAGGTTAGCACTGTTATCTTTATTGAAGGAGGTTACGCCCTCTCCCGATGGCAAATTTTAAACCTTCTAACATTTTATATCTTGTTTCCGCCACTACGACATTCTCGCTGAAAATTCTAAAAATTTCCACCAAGATAAACTAGGAAAACGCTTCCCCGTCGTTACAGAGTGAACCATGTAACAGGAAATAAACTATTCCATGCCTCATGAGTTTCATCATAGTCTCCATGTCAACAACTTTGCTGTGATCACGTTTGAAGATCTGTCCCCGAGGACAGTCCGCATAACTAAAAAATGCACCAAACTTCTTGTAACTCGCCATGGTGCCACTAATGTTGTAAATGTACGGAAAATACCTGAAAGAAAAAACAAACAAAGTTAAGCAAATTTCATTTTATCTAAATATATTTACTTTATGTTTTCATTTACACGTTCACCCTCTAGGCAGTTACTAGGAATGAAAAAAGAAACAAAAAAAACTAGCAACGAATGATATTATACGATAGAATATAAGAATGGATCTACTTAAATTAAACTCACGTTAAGCGTTAAAGAGGGAAAACTTCCTGCTTTACAAGGACGCCGTGTAAAAAACAACCTTACTCTTGGAAATTGTGGCAACGAATACTTGATTTGAGACTTGTCAGTGACGATGCCTGCCTTAAATGATCCAGCAAACTATTCCACAATACTGATCCACTATGACTGAAACTCTTTTTAAAGTGTTCAGTACGGGGAAGCGGCATTGCCAGTTCTTTTTCACCGTATTTCTCTTAAGTTATATAGCCTTGAGTCCATACGTAAAATATAAATTTCGAGCTCAGATATTCAGGAGTTTCAATATTCATTAAGAAGAGATAAATTCATTTCATTCATTTCATTTCATTAAGAACAGATAAATTCATTTCATTCATTTCATTTCATTAAGAACAGATAAATTCATTTCATTCATTTCATTTCATTAAGAACAGATAAATTCATTTCATTCATTTCATTTCATTAAGAACAGATAAATTCATTTCATTCATTTCATTTCATTAAGAACAGATAAATTCATTTCATTCATTTCATTTCATTAAGAACAGATAAATTCATTTCATTCATTTCATTTCATTAAGAACAGATAAATCGACCTTACGTTGCAGCTCAAATTTATGCTAATTGAGTAACTGAAGGAAGCTCATCCAGACTAGCGCCGTAATTTAAAGAAGTAATTATACGAGCAGCACGGTTCTGTAGTTTCTGGAGGCCCTTATTACAATTTGCTCAAACCGTGCTGCAGTATTTGAAGCGAGGCTGTAAAAGAGCGCAAAAAATAGTGAGGAAGGCCGAGTCACGAGGAACAAAGTTTCTGACGCGCTTAATTGCAGTAATGACAAAAGCAACCTTTTTACAAATCATCTGAATATGTTCATACCGATTCAGTTTACAGAAAAGGAATTTGGAACTAAAACCTGTTTAACTGGATGGAGCTTCATTGACGACAATATATACTTGGTTTCTCCGATACGTTAGATAGTCTTTGTCTTCAGCCAGTGAGGAGAAACTCAGTTTTTTTCATGTTAAGCGTGAGCTTATCTGATTAGCTACAAGCCAAACATAGACCCCGTCCAGATCATAATTAAACTTCTCATTAAAATCGTTGATGTCATTGCTAGCTTAGGTAATGCCTGTATCGTCGGCCTACCTTCTCGGTTGAGAATAATGCGGACAATTGGGCAAGTCATTTATGTACAATAAAATAATAAGGGGCCTAAAATGGTCCCGTGGGGCACACCACTCGTGACAATTTTCTTACCCGACTCCCAGCTGTTTACTGCGCAGGATTGTGAACGACCACTAAGTTATGACCTGAATCAGTCTCTTTCGGGGCCGGTTATACCGTAGCAGTCAAGTTAAGGTAGCGGTAAGATATGCTCATAAGCCTTTCTGAGGTCCAGAAAGACAACGGCATTAATGTTGCCGTGGTCAATATTCAATGACCAACTATCATTTGCTTCAAGTAACGCAGTAACGGTAGAGTGAGTATAGTACGAAAGCCTGATTGGTGATTTGACAGTAGTTTACTATCTTTCAAGTATTTATACAGCTGGTCATAAATTATGCGTTAAAAAATCTTTGCCCTCAAGGGTCATCAGAATTTAAAGCTTTTATCTTGAGACGATCTTTGAGGCGATTACCAGTCTCAGTCGCTGGCATAATCTTCAGGAATTAATTCTTTCAACACTACTTGCCGTCTGTAATAGACCTTTTACTGGATTTCAGTAAACAAAGGCACCCACTTATACGCTGGGTTCCTGAGACTTTTCATGCGAAGTTACAGGTTTCGGTCATGTCCTTAAGGTGATTCGTGGATTCGCCTTTAACCACTGTAACCAACTAGAGACTCGAGTTGACAAAATTCAGTGATTTATACAGTGTGAATTTGACAAGCTTTGACCTGGTTTCATTGTGTGTCATCACTGGAGTGGAATACTGGCAAGGTCTTTCACTATATTGTTTATTTTGTTAAATACTAAAAATTTATGTAATTTATCAGTCTAAATTTAATCGCACTACCCGCTCCTATTAGCAGGGGCTAATCACGGTTAGTGTAATTTATTAATTTGTAATTGTACGAATCAGGTGCGTGTGAATAATACAATGTAACTATAATAAAAATAGTATAAATCTGTCGTTTGCACTTACGGTATGTTGTAACTGGCCCAGTAGGTGCTCTCTTGTAAGAAAACAGACATGTCGGCTGATTCTATTATCCCAGGTAGCTGTTCCAGGATCCACAGCGTTCCAGGCTTGATGTTCTCTCCAGTTGTGAATCGTTTGTAATCAAGAACCATCCACTAATAAATTTGCAAGAAAATAAATATATGGTAAATGAATTATCTTTTCAACCCACCGAGGGGCTTTAGACTGTTCACAGTCCCCTATTTTTTCGTGAGATCGTTTACATATACCGCGTCTTACTGTCACGGCTATCTTGATTTTCAAATGTACCGAGGGGGCGGGCGTCGGCAAGATGGGTAGCCCGTAACGCAAAGCTCTCGATCTCGATGATCTTGCGGGAAAATAGAGGACTGTGAACAGTCTAGAGGGGCTTGTACAAGGATCATAAAACACAACACTGGAAACAAATAATTATTTCAAATGGAACGAAAGCTGTTTTTCTTTAAGCCTGACCGAAGAATAATGATAAGCTTGCGTAGCAGGCCCTAGACTACGAGCAGTCTCTCTTTTTTCTGCAGTCCGTCGAGCAAAACGCTAGACACGCAAATGGCTACGCGCGTGACTGATCCCTCGTTTCGCGCGTCTCGCCACTCCCGCGCGCGTGCATTGCTCTCATTAAATCTGAAGAAAAAGAGAGACTGCTCGCAATCTAAGCAGGCCCCGGTTTTTCAAACGTTGCAATTGGATTGCGCTGTCTACCGAATAAAGATCTGTCTAGTGGATAACACAATTGGTTTCCCTGATACTTATCCGCTGGATAGTGATTTATCCGGTGGATTGCGCTATCTAACGTTTAAACCGGCGCCAGGTGCTTGAAAATAGGGAGCAAGAAAGAACGGGGCACGCGGGAGAGACACGCGAGGGGAGAGGTAGCGCCTGCCCAAGAGGCTTCAAAATCACTTTTTTCCGTTCCTTCTCCCCTCGCGTGTCTCCCACGTATGCCCCGTTATCTCTTGCGCCCTTCTTTCAAACGCCCGCTACGCAGGCTAAATCATGATCGGAACGGGACTCCACCAAGGGACAGAGGTCCAGATTTAAGTTCAGGGCCCGGTAACCTCTTGGCCATGCACAACAAGAAGACATTAGAGATTCTGCCATAGGCCCTTCTTGAAGCCAGGATAGTTTGATCAAGGTAAGTTAAGTTTCTACTTTTCGACTTAACAGAACAGACTTTCTAGTAAGTAAGTAAGTAAGTAAGTAATAACTTTATTTAACCACGGAATCCTTATCACTAAAAAGTGGTCTTCTAAAGAGCCGTGCACATTAAACTAAGACTTAAAAATAACAAACATTATTGAAAAAATCCTATAATAAATGCCTACTAAGAAAATCTTAATGTACAATAGCGGAATAAAAACAATTTAAAGTAGTGGCCCGCTTAGCCTCAGCTGACAGGCTGTTCCATGTTACTGCGCCCCTATAACGAAAACTTTTCTTTAGGGCCTCAGTGTTCGGTCGCGGAATAAACAGGTTATGTTGCGCACCTCGAAGATTATGCCTGTGAATGGTATTAATGCTGGCGAATTTATCAGACGGGTATTCGGGTACAAGGTTATTTACAGTTTTAAACAGTAAAGATTTCAGTTGCTTAGTACGTCTGTCAGCGAGGCTATCCCATTTAAGGGCATGAAGAATCGGGGCAGAGCTGGCATCCCAGCTAAACCCTGTGATTATGCGTGCAGCCCTGTTTTGTAGTTTCTCTAGTTTTTGGCTGAGACCATTACCGATACAGCCCTAGACAGCGCTGCAATAATCGAGATGCGGAAGAATCAGTGACTTGTAAATAGTGACAAGGGTACTCTGGGGACATATTGGTCTTAGCCTCCTCAGGGCAGCTAGTACTTTTGCGACTTTACCGATGACTTCGGAGATGTGAGCCTCCCACGAGAGTGTTTCATCAACCTGAACACCTAGGCATTTGTAACTATTGACTCTTTCAATTGAATGCCCGTAGAGGGATATATGTGGATCGCAGCTCCAGCAGCTCCAATTTTGACAGAAGGATCTCATGGTCAATAGTATCAAAAGCCTTTTTTAAGTTAACAAACAGAATGGCATTTGTCAAACCATCGTCGATACAGCTGTCTGTGATGTCAATAAGAGCTGTAAGGGTAGAGTGCATAGGTCTAAAGCCAGACTGATATTTCGAAAGTAACTTATTATCATTTAAATATGAATAAACCTGATTAAATATGTTTTTTTCAAAGAGTTTGGCAATTACAGAAAGTACAGAAATTGGCCTGTAATTGGCTGGGTCAACTTTCGAGTCAGGTTTGAAAATTGGAGTTACTCTAGCACTCTTCCAGTCTTTGGGAATGATTCCCTAAGAAATAACTAAATTAAAAAAATGTGTAAGGGAACACGCAATGAATGGAAAAGAAAGCTTTACATGTAAGAGGCAAGTTGGAATACCGTTGAGGCCATCAGCCTTGCCCACAGGAATATCATTCAAAAGTTTGCGCAGTCCATCAATAGTCAGTAATTCGAGCTCGAAGGTGCTATCACATGGTTCTACAAAATCACGAAAACTGACTCGAAGGGGATTTATGTTCGCCGCTAAGTTAGGGCCAATATCGACAAAATGCCTGTTAAAAGCGTTGCTTAGCTCATGAGGGTCAGTTATCACCGTGTCACCAATAATCAATTTTGACACCGGAGCAAAGTTTTTCTTTCGTGATAATAATATATTAATTCCATTTCTAGTCGCTTTAGCTTTTCCAACGTTATCCTCGAAGAACGAATGATAGTAATTCTTTTTGGAGGCCTTAATAGAATGGTTAACACGATTCCCAAGTCTCCTGTACTCTGCCCATTTCAACTGATCACTGGTGACAATTGCGATACGCTTTATTCTAGGGGTGAGCCATGGAGCATTAGAGTTTCTAACTCTCCTTTTCTTAACAGGTGTATGAAGGTTGGCTACTGCTAGAAATGATTGTTTCCACACCTTCCATGCGCCAGTAGGGTTATCAATCTGCTCAATTGTGTCGCACGGAACCAGCGCCATGTCATTCACAAAGTCATCAGGCACAAAATTTTTATATTGTCTCGATTCAATGATAACAGATTCATGGGATCGACCTAGGGCATGTTAATTTACGAAAGACATAGATCAAACTATGATCGCTGCAACCAGTAGGAGATACACCTGATGTAGCAAATTTGACCGGCTCATTGGTAAGAAATAAGTCGATAAGTGATTTAGTACTTGAAGTGACGCGTGTAGGTTCCTTGATCAATTGAGTATATTGAAACAATTCACAGAGTTCAATTAGGTGTCTAGTTTCATTAGCAGGAGTAACTGCCATCATGTCATAGTTGATGTCACCTAGTATATTTGATTCAACATTTTCAGCTTCAATCTTTGCCAGAAGGACCTCGAACTTATCAGAGAGCTCAATTGGAGAATTCGGAGGTCTATACCAGTTTGAAATAAGAAATGGCTTGGCTCTAGGTTTTTGGATTTCAGTACCGGCACGCAGCGAATTAGCTTCCGGTTTCAAAATGGTGTGATGGGACTCCAACTCCTGCAATTTGTCTTGAAGATCTTTGATCTCATTCTGCAGTGATATGACCAGCTCATTTGCATAAGACGAACTCGCGTCGGATTTAAGATTCTCAATTTCAAAGCGGCAGAGTTCTTTGACTTTAGCTTCAATAAAAGAATAAAATCTTCAAATATGAGCTTGTTATTAGAACAAGACCGGGCCGTTAAACGTTCATCCATGTCAGCGTTCGAGCTGCTCCTCTCAATCGGCTCTTCGCCTTGGTCTTGAGATTGAATGGCGGCTCGTAGTCGATCGATCAGTACGCTTTTATTTCCACTTCGTTTGAGTCCACGCTTGATCAGTTCTGCTTTTAACTCGTCCGTCTTAAGAGAAGAGACATATGTTGCAGGGTCTGGAATATCTTGTTCGGAGGAGAATTCACGTTGCTCGACGCTTACGGCTTCAGAGCTCGCATACACACGTCCGTCCGCCATCGCTCGCTCCAGTCTAAACTGAAAGAAAGTAGTTCTCTAGAAAGAGAACTACTCCAAGCACACTAACGTCGAAAGTGGCACACACCTGATTGTTGTAGCTGTTCCAGAAAAACGTTTTCATCACATGAAGTACCACAAGTTAAGGGGCAGCAGCAGATACAGGTGTCGATTGATTTGAAAAAATAAAAAGAAAGAACACAACAACAAAAAAAATTGACGAAAATAATAAATTGAAAATACATGAAGAGTCTACATGCATCAAACCAACCCTCCCTTTCCCCTTACCACCACCCCGCCCCCCGCTAGCCAAACAACATTTTGCAAATGAGCGCCCTTCCTTCTACTTCACTTACTTAAAGAGTACGAATATAAAAGGAGAGCCTCTTTTCAACTTTTCGCAGCATAAGCAGCAAAGGAGAATAACAGGAAGCTTAAGCATCGACGACGGCGACGCCTACATTTAACAATAACGTCACTTAAGAAGAGAAAACGAGCTAGCTGCTTCAAACTTTATCGCGAGTAAAATTCCATCTCGTTCAATCGACAAAAAAGGCGAATTTTTCTGGAGTTAAATTCTAAAGGACTGCATCGAAGTTCAGGAAAACAAAAAGAAAATAATTTTTTTGTCAGTGTTCATGTCCTCCGCAAAACGTGAAAATAGGAAGTTTCACGTTGTTGTCATGCAACGACAGCAAAGAAATGTACAAAAAAGCGTGACACACGTGTACAGATTTTGTTTTGCTAATCTAAACTCATTGCTTTTTAGCCGTTATCGTTGCCGTAGCCTCCCTGATAACTGCTGATGACGCGCGGAAAAATAAGCTTTTCTTGAAAAGAAATTATTTCTTCTCAATTCAGAGCTTAAGTCATACTTCAAACGGGTTTCACAGTGCTGCTCATAACTAAAGCTGGTCACTTTCAAGAGTGGTCGTAAGCAACTGTATTAAACCCAGCGTTAACTGACCAATAATACAACAAATGTGAATGGCAACACTGGTTTAGTGCTATAAATTCCCTTACAACAACTTACGCAAATGACTATTCATTTACAAAATGTCAGCAAACCATGACTACTGCTACATGTATCATTTGCAGTATTACATGTAAAGTGTTTTAATCTTTGTTCCTCTTATATTTCTCAATTCTGATTTTTTGATTTACCTATTGACCGACTCATTTATTATTTGAATAATTGTACATGTAGCTGGCAAGAGGAAATGAGATAACTAATTTTCTCTTGATCTGGTTGACGTTCTAAAAACTACCAAACCACTGTCGAAAAAGGTCTAACGTAGCTTACAGGAAAGAGGTATTTAACAAAGAATACATGTAGTTCTTTCAGATGGCCTATAACTTACGTTCCACTGTTGTATTTTGAAAATAAGTAGGCCCACTCTCCCGAGGTACTTGCTAATCGGTTGGCCACAATAGAACGAATCCATTCTAGTACAATACCGGTTTCTGTAACATATTTCCACAGGTCTGGGTTACTATTTCCAATAGTGGTTTCCTGAGATACCTGTTATGCAAACAACAAATAAGAAAAAACAAAACTGTAGAACCTTTTCAAGGCATACAGTTAATGTAAATGTTAACTATTGAAACATTACTCATCATTGTCTTTGTCTGCTTCATCCCTCTTTTCTTATCAAACTAATTATCACTGCTACATGGATATTATTTAATGTTCTGTTATTAAGACTAAATTTAGGCACTGAAATGGTTTCCTGTCATATGTTGCCAATGATGGCAAGTTTATGCATATTTGCAATTTAGCACAGTATGCAGGTGGGGAAAGGTGTTCTTTTGGTCTCATTTTCATTTTGTTTCCTATGAAAATAGCCGGCGGTCATCATCATGGTAGTCAGGGAAAATCCCCCCCCCCCCCATGGCCCATAGTGACAGCCATGAAGTTTTAATGTTATACCTGCAAAAATCACCAAGAAATAAATTATTGTTACTGCTCTCTGATGAAAGTTGTTTGATATCTTGTTCATAACTCATAACTGTGTGTGTAAAGGAATTAAGTACATGTCAGTGGCAGATCAAAGGGAGGGGGCCTGGGCCCCCCTTATTTTTAGACCAAACTGATGCCCAAAGGGTCGAAAAAAAATGTTTTTTGAGACCAGGCCCTTTGTTATCTCAGGGTCTGGATGATTGCCCCCTTACCCTATCGGAAGGTCTGGATCCGACACAGAATGTAATGCCTTCAGTACAGAATTGGCCAAAAACAGTGCATACCCTCGTGACGAAGCCCCTTACTACCGGTGGTATGTGTTTTCTTCTCATGAATTGTTTAGCAAATGGTCTGTTTTGAGGCCATAGCACTAGGGGGTCTGAGTGAGGGAGGAGCAAAGACCCCTTAAGCTGTCTCTACCGTTTTGGACTGACGATGCGGGTAGAATAACAAACATGAGTACATCCTGCCAAAAATAATAATAGTACATAATCATCGAGAATAAAAAAAAAAAAACAATTTTTTGTTCCACTAACCATTCCACTGCTCAACATGTAGAAGTCATCACTACTAGTCATACTGGCTGGGTATGAGGAAAAACTTTGCTTTCTTCCTGCAATGATGTCTCCTAAAATATTAACCAGCAATTATAAAACTCAAATAGCAGAATCAGGTTTTAATTAACTACATTGTAGACGTATAAAGTCTTGTTACAGACAGAGTTGGACTAAAGTACATGTATCTAACTACATGTATTACTTTTAATATTACTATTATTATATTTATTTATTACAAAATTATTATTAATTATCATTATTATTATCATTACTACTATTATTATTATTATTGTTATTATTATTATCATCATCATCATCAAATTATTATTATCACTATCATTGTCATTAAACCCAAAAAGTGAGAAAAATTCATTCAACTCATGTAGGAACACAGGAAACTATATCAATAATTTAACTATTACTTCCTAGGGAGCTGGTATCATAGTCAAAACGTACATGTATATAAAAATACTATGTTAAAAAGAGGGCACAACAAATTTCTCAGGGAACTGGAAAAATGATTGCAGAGAATGCTAAATACAAGTCATTATTAAACAGCCAAACCTTTACATTAAGGACAAGAGATACAGCTAGTGTAAGACAATGTAGAGTGACGTGTGACACCCATGTGAGTGGTGCATGACATGAGTGTGTCTATACCATGAGGATTGCCAGGAAAAGTGAGGACGAACCATGTGTTGTAGCTGATGTAATATTTGGACAGTATGTAGTTTGTTCTTGTAATAAACATTGTTTACAGCTTATGCTTGTGGAGTGTTTAACAGTAATGTGAGACTTAAGAAATCAAAGGGACCAACAGAATTGTTTGTAATAGAGAGGAGTCCGTTGAATTATGGTGGGAAAGTTTTGACTGTATATGTATGATTCTCATTGAAGCCCACTTGCAGTCAGCACGGAGGAGAGGGTAGTTTCTGGTAAAAAGGCCAGCTTTTTGGTGATGTGACTTACCTTTATCTCCACTCACACTGACTGGAATATCATAAAGCTTAAACACCCTCAGCATTCCTGAATATGAATCCCACGTAACGTGAGAAATGAACAGGTCTTTGTTGCCTGGCAACAGTTTGATTAGAGCAGAACAGTGGCCTGAACCAATCATATGATGTATGTTCTTTTTTCCTAACACCTGCTCCAATGCTGGTATGTCCAAAGCTGCCTGCATCAATCTGTTAAAAACAAAGAAAACAGAAAAGAGAAATCAGTGAATCAGTAGCCTGCATTTATTTAGTTTATGTTTATTGTGCCCAAAACAAAACTTTCAAAAATACTCTATCATTTTATGTGGTAAAATATATTTCAATTTGCCACTTCATCAAAAACAATAACTTATAAATATTAATCATTGTTAAAAATAAACAGTTTATTTCATAATAATAAAGGAGTTGACTGTAGTTACTACAGTCAACTTCTTTATAGCCTTTCTTGTAGACACTTTAAAGGGACCTCAAGTTAATTAGTGTCCTCATTAGCAAGAGTCTGTAATAGCAGGAGTTTATAAAGTCAAACACCTGTAATTTGATTTTTCCCAGTATTTCGCTGCTGTCCACATTAGTGCAGTGTCCATATTAGCAAGGTGTCCACAAGGCAAGAGTTAACTGCATTTGTTATAAATAATAATCATTACTATAAAATTTATAGATATTTTAGACTTCTCTCCAGAAAAATCTTTCTCTTTTTTCTCTTACTTCAGGCGACATATATCATTCTTGGATCAGTTTAACTAATACAATCATCTTTGCAATCATCATATGTCATAACTTACAGGAATGCAAAATCCAAAATAGAGGGAAGGCTTGCATTTGCTGCATAACCCTTTTTGAGGCCTTCAGACTGTGCAAGAATAAGCTTCACCTAATAACATGAATTAAACCTGACATTAGCCCAACATAGTGTATTTTATATTGAAGTTACACTGATGCAATAACGCTGACAAGTTCAGGGCTTAAGTTCCTATGAGTTGTTATGTTCTTATGAACACACTACCATTTTTACTTTTGAACAGTTTTTTTTTTAAATTCAGCAATTATACACATGTTAATAATCTTATAAATTTTACACTTTGGTCTCTAGTCAATAATGCATATGATACAAATTCCTACAAATTAGCTGCTTATTTTAATTTATAGTGTCCCCATTTATTGGTTCCTGCTAGGTTAGTTTGACACTTAAATAAGGTATCGATTGATTGAGGGCTAACAGTTTGGTTTACTTGCTGCTACAGCGGGTCAATGATTACGACACTATAAAAGTCAATCCATAAAACTGATTCAGAAGGTTGGCAGTGCAGTGTTTAAAATATATATCTTCAGTTAATTGAATCTATGCATGTAGATACATGTATGTTTATTTGCTTTTTCTATTTATAAGAGCATTTAGGGATGGAGCTGATAGCGACTTTAATTGTTAAACCATACCTCACAGTTTCCACAAATTATTTTTATCTAACATTTGTATTCATAAAAATATTAAAATTGGATATGAAAGTTGCCCTTTATTTGCTGTAAACGTGACTCTAAATCTCTCTTTTTTCTTGCCCAAAGTAGCCCCAATCTCAATATTAGTGTATTAGTAATTAGGGCTACATCAGATATTCTAAGTTATCAGTAAATAAACTGACAGTTTGTACTGATTAAAGTCTATTTAACCATTTAGCTGCAACTCATGTTTTAACCCTGCTCATAAAGCTGTATGCACTTTAACTGACCTGGTACCAATATTTGTCACCAGGGTTACTAGTAATTTGTGCCATCATCCATTTTTCATTTTCAGCAAGAAACCTGCCAAGCTTCATGCAGAATTCTGGCTCAGAATCACAGTAACCAGCCAGGGTGTTTTGATAAGCTTTGTAAATCAATTCTCCAGTTAGAAATCCCTCAGTCATTCCCACTGCCACTGCCTGAGTCATATCTGGATACGAGCCATTTGAGTGAACCTCAAGGAATGACCATCTATCACAAAAATTATGATATTATTACAAAATAAATGCACTTTGAGTGTTATTTAGCACAAGGGATTATTTACAAGCGTGATCAAGGATTTGTGGCGCTTTCCACTCAACCCAAAATTTCAGAATAATTTTGGTTGGTATGTTATCAAATGGAAAGGATCATTTCAGTTTGATCTGACCAGAATATTCAGGACCAGCTTTGATGATGGTCCTCTTTGACCAGTTTAGCCATTTCAGTAGGTTGGACCAAAATGTACCTTCCCATTTGAGAAAATTGTTGTCCCCAGTACCACTCTTTTGTCTCCTGCTTGCAAGAACAATTATTTTACCAAACGTGCAGTGGCTCAGTTGGATCGAGTCTGTGCAACCAGAATGTACTGTTACACTGGGCACGTGAAATTTCAAACCGGAATTTTTGCCGAATGGAAAGCGCACTTGAACACGGGACTTCCGAGAACAATTAGGGCGGGACTTGGGGGTCGCCTACACTGACCCCATTCCAAAGTTGAATGTTGTATAATCTGCTGGAAACTTGCACATTTGGTCTGCGATATATGCAGTTATTTTAAATAAGAAATAATAAGCATTAAAGAATAATTTTCACAAATCTTCCAACAACCACTTGTGTCCACGATTGTTTTAACCATTTCCTCCTCACATATAATTAGAGTCACGAGAGAGTCAGTAAATTACATAAGCTGTATAACTGCCTCTTCTTTTCAAAAAATGTAGTCTTACAATTTACTTTAATGCGATACGTGAGATTTAAAACTAGAGCAGTATTATTTTTAATAGCATTATTGACTCATAATTGCTTTTATTTCCTTCAGCACTTACCCAGTAGAATGAATTTCGTCCCGAAATTTCCCCCAAGCTACTGCGCGCGGCTCCGACGAGTCACATCCAAGTTTTACCTGAAGAGTTTTGTCATCGGTATTTTGAACTACACAGGCAAGTTTTCCTTCTCCTTTCACTGCAATAATGTTAAGACAAACGGCTAACGAAACAATTAGAATTAGAAAACGTAGAGGCTCTCGCCATGAAGCCATGTTGATGTCTTTCACTGACTTTTCTGACACACTGCATATGATGTAGAATGGGTAGCCTGTTTTATAGCACAGTATCGGCCATTTTCGCATATCCCATAATACATTTCGTTTGTGCGTTTCTTGTGGAAAGTGCTTGCAAGGACTGCAAGAGCATTATGCGGCAAGACCCTACCAGCCTAACACGCGATTCGCACCTGACGTGTAAGGGAGTAGCCATGATATTTTCCCCAAATCCATCCTACAGGATCACCCAACGAGAATATAGTTCAAAACCACTTAAACATAGCATTGTTAAACGTATTTTAGTACAGGGGCGAATCCAGGATTTTTTTTAGGAGGGGGTGAACTCGTCTCTTGCTCTACTTCAACACCAATAAACCACATACTTTTTTTTTTGCAGAATACCAGTTGTATTCGAAAACTGCACGTCATCTCAGGGGGGGTGCGCACCCCCTGCACCCTCCCCCTAGATCCGCCCCTGTAGTATTTAAACGGTAGATATGAGCATATTTTTATCCCCAAATTTTTTTCCGTCTGTTCCGATTTCCCAGCTGAAAGTCTAGTGGTCCGAAAATTATAGGGATCAGAACTTACCTTTTCGAAGATTTCAGCCAGAAAACAGGCTTCCTAAAATTCTAGGTGATCTTTTTAGGGCAAAAATCCGTTAAAAATGGCCAGTTATACCATTTTTTAGATGTTCCAAAACTCCTGGCAAGCAAGAAATTTTACAACAAATGTTCCGAAAATTCTAGATCTCAAATCACCCTAACCTGTAAGTTTAACACATTGGATGGACTGGCAATTGTATGTCATAACCAGCTGCTGAAGCATTACGATTGTCCGGGGGGGGAGGGGATCCGGGGTATGCTCCCCGTGAAGATTTCACCATAGGTCCGTCTCAAATAGGGGTCTAAACTCATATCCTTGTTAAATACTTATAGTGATGGTTTATAGTTTTTGAAAATCAGGCAGTTACTGCTCCTTGAATTGCGTCAAACTCTTTACTTGACTTCAATAGAACCATACTGCATTCATCCCTGTCATGCGAGGGCTTCAAAATAAAGTGGGTTGACTCGTTGCTCGCGGGCATGACTCGTCACAGTTTTAGTTTTAGTTACGTTTAACTAAAATGAAACCGCCGAGACACTCCGGCTGTTTACCCGGGTTTTGTTCCTCTTGCTGATAGCTTTGCTCTAATTTCTCTCTGATCTATGCCTACTCTAAAGCACCAACATTTTAGTCCACCAATCGAAGCGGCGCCAATAAAATTTGTATCTGTTCGGTATTTGTATCTGGGACAACTGTAATTGGCTCATCGCTGTTGTGACACCCCTGCCTAAATAAGAATAGTATTATTCATTGTTCAGTAACAGGCGAAGCTAATAAAATGAAATAAGTATAGGGGAACTTGAATCTTTTCGAAATTACAAGCTAAGCATAATATCCACGTTAAATAAAGTATCGTATCGTATCGTATCGTATAAGTTTCCCGAAAGTTTTACATGCAATTTGACGTTTTACGAAAATGAGATTTTTTCTTAATCCTCTCTCCATCACATTTTGAACAAAAAAATTTTCGGGTTTCGGGCGAAAATTAGCCCAGCATGAGGAGTAAAATGTGAGAAGTTAAACTTCCGAAAATCGTAGTGGGGATTTATGAAATAAGCTTCGAAAATTGTACCTGAATGGAACGGTCATCCAGAAATTTCTAGTTGTCCTCAAGAAGAAAATTTTAGGCAATGTTTGCTTCTTCGAACAGATAATTCACAGAAAACAGTCGTTGGGTACCCCTGACAACTGATCAGAAAAACAGCAAGTGATTGCCGTCGTCAACAGGTCAATCCAGGAGTCCTTCTCTCACGATTTTTTCCCCGGCTTTCCCATTGCATTTTATCAGCTACACGTGTACATACGTACATTTCTTCTTTTTTTTTTACAAAAAGCAAATCACTTCACTGGTTGAAAACCAACCTATTTAACATATTTACCGAATATTGCTTTGATTATAAGTAAGTTTCACCGTTTTAACAAGAGACAGGGGCTATAGCATTCAAGCGTATTCTGGTCGATCGTCAGTGCCGTTGCATGCGGTTCAACTACAGGGACTTTGGAGAAACGATCCCCAGCTGGAAAGAGGGTCTCACTGGTGGGGTTAACTGATAGGCGTAAAACGGTCAAAAATTTAGTCGATAGCAGTAAAAATTGAAAATTTTAACCGGTAGCCGTAATTAAGGTAAAAAAAGTTAACCGTAAAAAATCACTTGCTCCCTAGGTATGTTAATTTTAAGGAATTAATTAAGGTTCTAAACTCACTTATGAACGGTTGCGTTTCTTATTTCGCGGCTCCTTTGACTTCGGCCGTACGTTCGCGTGTCTGCATTTGCTTTTTTCACGAAGGTTCTTTTTAAATGAACTGTTATGTCTGTTATTAGCAAGAATGATCTTTTTCATCCCTAATACAAAAAGAAATGTAAGTTGACTGGAAGTAGCTTAAACTTTTTGCATTTTAATCAACAAAGAGTTCATATCATTTAAAGAGAATGAGCAAACTCTCATCATTTAGGGGCTGGTTTTCACTAGGGACGGAGTCAGAGTCGGAGTCGGAGTCGGAGTCGTAAGGGCGCTTATGACCTTTGTCAAAATAAAAAATCGGAATCGTAAGCGGAATCATAAGCGCGACGGAATCGGAGTCAGAAGAATCAGAACGTTTCCATTTCTTCCGACTCCGCTTACGACTCCGTTGATTACGTTCTGCTTATGATCTAGTGAAAACCAGATTGTCGGAGTCGGAAGCAGAAGCGGAAGAATGCATGTTCCCACTCTTTGTGATTGGTTTAGTTCTTCTGCTTCTACTTCCGACTCTCACGGTCTGGTTTTCACTATATCATAGGCGGAACGTAAGCGACAGAGTTGTAAGCGGAATCGGAACGCTGTTTTCAGTTGATCGTAAGCTCTACGCTTCTGATTACAACTCCTACTCCGACTCCGTCGCTAGTGAAAACCAGCCTTTTTTAGTGGTCGCTTAAGAGGTAGTGGCTCACAAGGATCGAACGACATGGCGGCTCTTCCAAAAAGATGGCCGAGCACATATCATCTACTTTATGGAAGATAATTTATTGCATGCAATTTCGCCATAGGTAGTTCCATGTTGTTACTAAAGTTCTTCGTGTAATCTAAGTAGCATAGTGCACACAGCTAACGTATAGAGATCAGACGGAAGGCGTCAAGTGGTCGCTGACAAGAGGTTAAAAGCAATGGAACATCATTTTAAACTTTGAGGCCCAAAAAGCGCGCGTGGTCAAGGTCGCTTACAGGAGGTGGTCGTCTATCAGAGGTTCCAACTGTAAGGCATTGACCTAGGATTGACGGGGAAAGTTTGGGTGTTTTGGATAGACGGTCACTTAATTATGGGAAGTGGTCACCTATGACAGGGGCACCCAACGACAATTTTCGGAAGAATTTCTGTTCGGAAGACTATTTTAGATCTAGAATTTTCGAAACATTTGTTGTAAAATTTCTTGCTTGCCTGCCTCTCCTAGGATTATCTAACATCTAAAAAATGGTATAATTGCCTATTTTTAACGGATTTTTACCCTAAAGAGGTCACCTAGAATTTTCGAGAGCTTTTTTTCTGGCTGAAATTTTCGTAAAGGTAAGTTTTGATCCCTATAATTTTCGGATCACTAGACTTTCAGCTAGGAAATCCGAACAGATGAGAAATTTTTAGGGGATAAAAATATGCCTATATCTACCGTTTAAATACTAAAATACGTTTAACAATGCTATGTTTAAGTGGTTTTGAACTATATTCTCGTTGGGTGCCCCTGCTATGAGAGGGGGTCGCACCTGGAGGTTCGACTGTACTTTAAAAGTATGATCTATCGAATATAAAAATTTGTCAAAAGAATAACTTATCTCATCCCGAGATGATCCTAAGACCTTTATTTTTCTTAACTTGGAATCCACCCTTGGTCGATCTCATGGCCTCTTTTTGTCAATAACTTCAAGGATTGTTGCCGTTTCCTTTCGAATTTTTTTTTTTGCTTGTTTGTGTTATTTCTTTTAATGGAGAAAAGATGAAAGTGAAGCAGAGTGTTAGTCTCAGCCCCCTCCCCACATTTTTCGTTTTTTGTTTTTATTCAGTCTGGGAAGAGAACCTGGCAGACTGAAAAAAAAAGACTGAAAGAAAAAGGGACGAAGGACCGGCTGATCGCAGATGAAATTATGATCTCTGATAGTTTTGTACGACTCTAAGGTTGTGTTCTATTGGGACCAACCGTTTCAACCAAAACCGGTTTTGGTTGATTTGATTGAAGCTCCCAATAGAACACTTTTCCAACCTTTTCTAGGTATAGTCATTTCCAGACTTCCTCGACTTCATTTGCAAAGGTTGTCAACGTGCAACATATTGGTAAAAACCAGAATGGTTGCTGTGGCTCTTCTTTAACAAGTGGCCTTAAACAACCCTTCAGTCTGAATCAGACGATGAATTGGTCCAAATAGAACACGACCGTTCCAGCAGCTGACCTTTCCAATTCCTCTCCCCACAGAAATCAACATAAACGCGCGTGCAGATCGTGTCTTAACGCGGTCACATTTGAAGTAATTTGAAGTAGAAAAGATGACAATGATATCACGTGGCCTGTATCAAAATGGCGCCTGCAGATGAATGTTGTCCTTATTTTGGGAAGAGTTTATTTACATAAATCTAGAGTTAATCTATATTTGCCGTTTTGGAAAACGTCCTTAATACAGTTCTTGTGGAGTCACTTAGCGATTTACGTCAAATATTATGAAGCTAAACGAGAGATGCGTAGCTGAATACTCTACTTCCTCTGCCCCGATCGACAAAGAAGGTTACTTAAATAAGAAGGGCGAATTGAATAGAGGATATCAGCGGCGTTGGTTTCTTTTGAAAGGCAATCTTTTGTACTACTTTGAGAAGCGATCCGATAAAGAACCAATTGGGGTTATTGTGCTGGACAATTGTCACGTAGAGTTAGCGGAAAGCGGAGAGCCGTACGCGTTTCAGATCTCCTTTGGAGGAGATGGCTCCAGAACTTACATACTTGGAGCTGATACTGCGAAGGATATGGAAGCCTGGATGCGCGCTATCACTCATTCGAATTATGACTGTTTGAAAATGATGGTGGAGTCGTTCGAAAGCAAGTTACAGAAGTTGACATCGGAGGAAATTGACTTGGCCACTGCAAGCTGCAGTAATTCTAAAGCGAATCCTACTTCGATCGAAAGCGTTTCCGGTGCTTCGGATTTGGTTGGTATTAATAGTAAAAAGGACAATTTAGACTCTTTTGAGGCGGTCATGGCAAGACCTATCTCTGAGGGCGCTGCAAATGGTGACATTAAAAACAGTGACGGCGTAGATTTCGATAATCTACCACCCCAAAAGAGAAAAGAAGTTGTGTCAGCTTATAACACTCATATCACTGTAACCAATACAGAACCAGCGGTTGGTAATTTAATCAGTCTTGGTGATGATGACGATGAGGATCAAATTCCAATCCAAAATGAATTCTCACTTAATGACAGTTTTTATTCTAACAGTGCAGACATAATGCCTCTTAGCTATTCTGATTTGGGACAGTTGGAAGATATACACACAGAGCATCTGTTGAACAAGCTAAGTGGAAATGTGTCAAAGGAAAGCAAAGATGATAGCTATTTGACAACAAGGTTAAAGCGTGATCCTGTTCCACGAAACCTGAGGCCAAAATCTGAGCGAAGGCGAAACAATATCAATATCCGGACTTTGTATGGAAATGTTGAACCTTCACGATTTGATCGGAGCAAGTCTAAGACTCTGCCAAGGCCTTTATCAGATGTGGATACGTCTGGATATCATTCAGAACATGGTAGTATATTCAAACATCTTCATGAACTTTACAGTGCCTCAATCTGGGTGAAATGCAAGGAATATGGGAAACAAGCTAGTCAGACAACTTTGAAATGAAAATTAATCGCTACAATGTGATATTTGTTTACTACTGCAACAAGTCCTTGCAAAGACAGTGAGTTATGCTGTGATCTCTGATTTTTTTTAGTTAGGCCATTGATTGCTCTTTTTTCTCTGTTTAGTATCATACCACCTACCCCAATTTTTGGCTTTTTAAAAAAGAAGCATTGCAGTTAAACCCTGAGGGGTGGGGAGTGGAGGGAAGGGGGAACCTGGGGGCTCTGCCCGAGGTCCAACCCCTTACCCTTTTATATACCATTTTCACGAAAAAGGGACCCCTTTCGTTTTACCTTTTTTAGAACTTTGCATCCCTTTTAACAGCTGTAAATGCAGTGTCTTTTAAATAGGAATCAATCACAAAAGTAGAATATTTTCTTGACTATTTAAAAAAGCCATAAAATTCATCTGTTAGCCCTTACCTAAAGCCTGAACAAGGAGGTGACGCCTCCCCTCATAGGCCATCGTAGGGAGTACCCTCCCCCCCCCCCCAGGAGTTAAACCTTTTTTTTTCACTTTAATTAATTCTTTTAATCTAAAAAAAGAGTGTTGTAACAGCATTTTGTAGCATCTGAGAGGAGTTTCAGTGGTGCATCTTTTTTGCCAATAATGTTTTGTTTTACTGGGACATTGACCATCACATTTACTGCCATTTACCTTTTATTTTTACGTAATGTTACATAGTTTTCACCTCTGTACATTTTTTGTACTATCACAAAAATGACAACTTCTAATTTATTACTCATGTACATGTGGTGCTTATGTCCTTAAAGTAAAACACTAAGTTTCAATGAAAAACTTAAAATGACTGCCAGTTGCCAATGGTTGCACCAGGATTACTGGTATTGAAAGTCTTGTTTTGCCTATTACATCATCTCTTCACATGGCTGTAATAATATTCTCTGTAATCTTATGTTGGTCTGTTTGTTTGAAAGTCTGTATATTTTAGCACAGGAGAAGAGAATTTTAACTGGTTAGGATAAAACAAGGATGTTATTGTTAGTGAATTTTAGGAATATTTAGCTATTTCAGTTCCAAATAATGTGGTTTTATTCTAAAATTGTCATTAGTAATAATGCTGGCCAGCTGTTTTTGAGCAGAAGCACATACAGTCCACTCCTGATAACTTGAACCTTTAGGGTAAACCGAAAAAAAGTTTGAGTTAGTGGAAGTTTGATTTATCGGGACTTCAAAGCAAATAACTGGAAATAAGGAAATGGGATGGGGAATGAATGCAAGTAATATGCACACTTTAAAGCTTGATAAATAAGTAATACTGGACTCTGTATTTAAACTGGATTGAAAAAAAAAGTGAAGATGGAGAATACGTGGTTGTTAAAACAATTCAATGTTTCAGAATGCTGCTCACTTTTTTTCGACTTGTCAGGTGCTTAAAGCATGATTTGAGTTATTGAGGCTAAATTTTATTTAGAAATGATCAGAAGGGAAACAAAAATTTCTTCGAGTTAGTGGGAGGTTTGAGTTCGAGGGTTCCAGTTAGCGAGGGTAAAATTATAGTAAATGTATGAAGGAAATTCAAGGGAGATCGATTTTGGTTCGAGTTAACACGATGTTTGAGTTAGTGAGGGTTTGAGTTATCGGGAGTCAACTGTAATGAAGTAATAAACTTAGAGGCATTGTATACAGCTTGAGCTAACATTAATCTCTTGAAATTATATTTGTATATTAATTTTAAATCATTTGGTTTTGAAAATATACGTAAATACTGAGTCTATAGCCAGTAAGGCTGAAAAGGTACAAAATTTTATGTGCAGTATCAGATGAAACATAGTCCAAAATATTAAAACTAATTTATGAATAAACTGTATAATTTATTTTTAATTTTCACGGGAAGCCTAATGCATCCAGTGTTTGTTATAATAATTATTAACTTCTATTTTTGTTAGAGAGATGTTACAAGAACTTTGCCTTTGGTGCCTTTAAGTTTACCCTGTGAGCAGTGGTTTCTCCTGGCTGCTTGGAGAAACTGCTGCTCGCAGGGTACTTTCAGTTATGCCTATTGACAAAGAGCAGTTATTTCAAAGTGCTTTCTAATTCACAGGAAAAAATAATGGATTCCCATTTTTGGATATTTTAGGGTATTTTTAAAGAATACCCACAAAAATCCCAAATTTGGAAGAGTGAGACAAGTCCCAATAAGGGAACTTGGTTGGGAATTCCCCGGTTGGGACTTGTCTCACTTTGCCAAATGTGGGATTTTTATGGGTATTCTTTAAATACCCTAAAATATCCAAAATTGGGAATCCGTTATTTTTTCCTGTGATTAGCTGCCTGTAAGAATCTGCATCCACGTACAAATTCTCCAGACTAATCTCAATACATTTCCTTAAAGAATTGGTGAAGGGCATTTGATAAAAAGTTGAAGCTTTTCTGATTTGGTGATCAATTTATCAATTCTCATGACGTTTTCTCTTGATTGAGCATTGATATTGTTAGTAGAAAATTGATGATGGTCACTTTTGGGACAATGAAGGGTTGGCTTATCACCAGTGTAGGAGGGAGTCAAGTTCTTACAGTCTTGTTTCCAGTAATTATTCTTGGGACAAATTTGATGAGAGAGAATTGTATCAAAGAAAGTGGTTATGACCTCAATTATGTCCAAGAATTAACAATTAATGAATGAGGCTGAGTATCTTATGCAGAATTATGGAGATTGAGGAGGGTGTTATCCGTCAAGGCGGTAGGCCGGAGTGGATAACACCCTCAGAGATCTCCATAATACTTTATATGATAGGAAAACAGAATTCAATAATTGTTTTATTATTCATTCAAAATAATTCCTCGTTAAAACATAGCTAAAACATGCTTACCTCCATCGATGTTAAGTTCATGTTTGATAGTGCATGTTTAGGGTTGTCCAGCTCCGCAAATATTCTCCAGCTATGAGATGTGGCCCTTCGAGTTGTCTTCTTGCTGTTCTTGCCATGTTTTTTGCCAGCCATGACTTTGCCTAGTTCTTGCTCTTGAAACTAGTGAAATGTCCGCCATCGTTTTCACCACCAAAACAACTCAACCTCGTCCCTAGGTCTTCTCAGTTAATGGTGCATTAACCTGCAAGGAAGCTGCACTTTTGACGTCGTAGGTTGATTAATCGCAAAATTCTTCCAAATTTGTTCATCAGTAGCTAGTTAAGGTGAGTTATGTGTGTGCTCTTAGCCAATCAGAATTGGGGAAATATTTTAAAAGAATATTTATAATGCATGTTATATTCATGCCCTTTATGATAGACATCAAACAAACAAACAAAAAAAAAGTGATAGTTTTTTTATTTGTAGAAAAACAAATATTACATTTTACTATTATATTACATTTTCTTAACATTACCCAGGAGCGGAGCCTCCATCTCCCATACAAGCCCTTGGAGTCAACCCTTTCCCGAGTAGATTTATAATTAGAACGGTTCCCAGGGGAGACTTCGCGCGCCGACGGGGGGAAGAGCCAATCACAACGACTAAATGACACTGCTATTGTACTTCATGAAAGAGCAGGAAATCCGGTGCTGACAGGCCAAACAAAATCATAAGCTAGTGAAACGTGACTTTAGCGTTTTCATCCCTCAGAGATTTTCTTTCTTTTCTTTCTAGCGGTAGATTATACTGTGGAGAGTTTTAAACTCTGACTATGTTAATCTTAATTTTGGTTGCTTGTCTCACATTAAGCTGGTCTGTTACATGCGTAAGGATTAACTACTCCCTGCAGACTGTAGTTCTGACAGGATTCATTTTCTTTCAGTAGCCAATTTTTTTGAGCGTTAAGGTTCTTATTTAGGCTAAATGACTCAATATTAATCAAATTTCTAGTTTTTCAAGTTTTTATCCGAAATGCGTTTGTCTGAATAAATACTGTGGTTGTTTTGTCCGTCCGTTAGTGTGATGATTCCCTGCTATGTTTTGTAACGCCGAGCCCAGCCATTGTTTTCTCGCAAAAAAGTGATCTACAGATGCGAATTCGAAGGAAAGAATTGGCCTAAACTTCTACATTAATTGCTGAGAATTCTCCTGTTGGTCAGTCATAATTCTTTGGGCGCAGATACAATCCATTTTGTTTTTCTTGAGATAAGAGGGTCTTTGGACTGGAGCGCGATGTCACAAATTCCACCGTTAGCAAATTACTTTTGAGTTAGCTTCACGGTCGAGCAACTGTTGTCTTCTGTTCAACTTTTCAAGTGCCAGTTTTATCAGGCAACTCTGTACAGGTGAGTCAGTTGTAAAGGAAGACTGCAATTTGTCTGAAGCATTCCTCCTTAGTATACCTGCCAACATTTTCTGAGATATAAGCGTGAGATTTTTATCCTGGGAGTTCTGGGATTTTTGCAGACGACACGATCATTTCCGAAGATTGCCGAAGAAGTCCGAAGTCTTCCGAAGAAGTCCGAAGTCTGCCGAAGGCGAAGTTATCGAGAAAACGCTTATCCACAAAATCAGAGATCGCGAGAAAGGTATTGTTATTTATTCGTTTACACATGGTTTTCGTTCCTTACATGGGTCTGAGTTAACATATTTTTGGAAATTTTGTCAAGCAAGACGGCAAAAACTCACATTTTTCAATCAGGCGTGAGAAATTGGCCCGCAGGCGTGAGCCGGCGTGAGATCGAAGTTTTCAACCCGCAGGCGTGAGACTCACGCCTAAGGCGTGAGAGTTGGCAGGTATACCTTAGTTGCTACTTAGGTCATCGCTTTTGCACACGGTGCTTAACTGGCGAAATCCACTCCACGGCGATGACAAAAATAAATGATCCTGGCACTTTTTCGGCGCTGATCATCGAGAAGTTTCAAATCGTCCACAAAACGCTTAATCGTCGACTCTTTTCAAGGTGCATGCTTAAATGTGGGATGTATCACGGCAAAAAAAAACAAAAACAAAAACAAACACTCGCAAAGAACCTTTCCGTGATCCCCAGTTCGCTGCCTTTGTCCCATCGGTTCATGCTCAGTCTCAGTCGGGTAATTCATTAACTTTTATTTCATCCCAGATCCCAGCGGCTGTAAAACTGTAAAAATGGACGTATAGTAAAAAACGAAAACGGTCGAAGGACGGGCTTCTGAGTTCGACTTCATCCAACTTCATTTTTTTCACGGTGACATACGAGACTCATGGAAATATGACACTTTTCGCGGGAAACAAGCCGTTCTATTTATAAATCTACTCGGGAAAGGGTTGACTCAAGAAATTAATGGAGATAGAGGCTCCATTTGATGGGCTCCTGCATTACCTTAAAATATATTTTTTTACACATAATTTACATCAACAAGTGTCCCCTATACCACTGCCTCACCTAAGCACAAGCAATTCTGTCAAACATGAATTTTTAGGTAATTCTAAATACCATGGCGGCTAATATGAAGTACCCGAGGTCCGAAATGAGTACGTTCCATGTCATGTGCAAGACGTCTGAAGTGACTGTTTTTCTATCAGTATTTTTTGGTTCGATCCTGCATCACCCTGCGAGCAAGATCTACAATTTTGGCGAGCGTGTCTCCTTTCGCGTGCGGTTCTCGCGTGATTTCTCGCGACTTCCCCCTAAGGGAGAACTTGCTCGCAGGCTACCTCAGGACTTTCATTAGGCAGTCATTGTTAAAATTGCGAATAGTTAAGGAAAGGGCTCCAGAGAATGAGCCCAGAATCCAGCTCGGAGTGAATTCCCTTAAGGTGGACACATACCAGACTTGACTATATATTTGAGGGGTGTCTTTTACAAATTTGTCTGCTTATTAATTGGGCCTGAAAGCGCACCTTATTCTCTCTCCCCCCCATATTTCCACCTTTTATTTTTTCGTTTATTGCGTCAGAAATAAAAATTTGTTTTCGTTATTTAAACCATAGTCAATAAGTTCTTAAAAACACCCCCAAGTCTCCGTCCGGGTCCCGGCCCCCAGCGCACTCGCAGTCCGTAACTCAGCCCCACCCCCATCCTCCACTCTCAAATCCTGTCGGGGTGCTGTGGGGGTATGAGACGAGAGCTCACAAAACATCCAAGATGGCGGACGAAGGTAAGTGAATATCTGCCATAAGTCAGCATTTTCTGTGAAAGATCCCGCGGAAATGTCGAGCTTACGTTTATGGTAGATGCATTTACCAAGAAAAAATTTAGATGGGCACTCTACAATTTTAAGAAATCCGCGACTCGATAGCAGGTCGCGGATTGGCGCTAAGAAAAGAACCACCTGGTAGATTTGTGTCCATATACCAGATCATCAATTGAATATTGTATACAATGTTGAGTCTAAATTGCTTGCTTTTGCCAAACATTGTTGTTAAATCTTGGATAATATTTCCGCACAACTCCATACCTTTAATATTCTTGCACCAATTTGGGTAATAAGCTCAAGTTCAGGTCGACACATGTATGATAATAAATGTATTAGACTGTGGGGAATATTTCGAATTATTATAGATATCCTCTTGGAAATAAGTATTTTAATTTCTAATTTCAAAACAGACAGAAGACAAAATGGCACATGCCTCAAAACTGTCTCATAGTGTCATTCTATAAAATCAAACATTTGATGTGTTTTAAAACGTTTTAATTAGTCTTAATTGAAGTGAATTGACAGTTTCTTCAGTTTTCTTTATAAACGCAAGAAATACAGCCAGTGATTTGCAAGAGATCACCCGCTGGAGCTCCAGTACTGTAGGTGCCTGGTCTTATTTTAAGCACTAATAGAGTCTGCGCAGGCTGCCCATGTTTAAAGATGTAAGATGAACATGGTATATTTATTTGTTCATTATCATGAAAAAAGGGCAAATTGCATGTTTAAATAGTTTGCAGGCTAATCTTGCGCTGCTGTCTTAATTTGATGCTCTCGTTTAAACAACTGATATTTACATTTTATTTTTGCAAAAAAAAAAAATCAACACCACTTATAAATGGATTTGGTCAAATCCACCAATATCCAATGATCTTTGCATCATTTAATTGAATGAAATCTGTTCAATGTTGTTTTGTCTTTGATGGCTGCATGGCTGTGAAAATAATGGTAACCTGGTTTCATATGTCAGAAAAATGCCAGCCAGTTTTCTAGATTTCCCTGTTTCTCGTATTACCAGATTTTGCTGATTTTCCAGGAAAACCTGGCATCATCAAAATCATCATGATCAACTTTCTTGATTTTCTAAGGGTGAAGGCCAACCACCCAAGCCATTGGGAATATCTGTGATTTTGTGTTCTCATTGGTCAGTGAAATTTTGGATAGTTAGGATACAGTGAACAAGAGCTTGTTAAAGAAAAACTCTGTGCATGGGCAGCTCTCATCCTAAGAGAATTAAAGTTTCTATGGGAAAAGAAAATCAGCATTCATCTAGGTTTTAGCTCAGTGTTTACTTCAGTGGTAGAATCTGCTCAGTGGTAGACAGTGACCAATCAATGATAATAACAAGGTTGCCTAGTGTATGGAGAATTGACAGTTTTATGTGACTATTAATATTTTGTCATAATACTGAAGGTCAGGTGGCTAAGTTAGAGAGACACCTGAGCCTACTGCGCCAAGAGTATGTCAAACTACAAAACAAGTTGATAGACTTGGAGCAGAAATACAGTTTGGCTGTGGCAGCATCTGGACAGACAGGGGAACATGACAATACATTCGTCAGTAAACTATTGAAAACTGTGGCTGAACTGTTTGATAAAGACTTATACAGGTAAGATCAGTTTTCTATCCTGGTGGAATTATTGACATACTTACATTGACGTGGTATTTTTTGCATGCACTTCCTTTACATGATTAATCACATTATGACTGGCTGAAAATGATAACATTTGTATAAACCAATGTTCTGGCAAAGCTCTAGATTTTTGTAGGAGAGGTGATAGCAATAATAAAATTTAATTGTTATCAATAAATTATTTATTGTCCAACAAGTAACCTTTTTATGGGATCTGCATATGACTAGCTATAATATGATTTGTTTAATCTATATTTGGCTGTATAAGATTAAATTTGTTGTTCTACGTAAGCTAAATGATGGTACATCCACTTAAACTTTTGCAGTTTTGAAGTGGGCACAGGCCATGCTGTACATAGTTCATTGTTTGCCATAATTGTGGGTCGTATATTAACTTTATGTAGTACGTACCGGTTAATAAAATTACCAACCAAAAACATTTGAAAAATTTCTGAGAAACAGACTAAATTCAATAAACGCTCGGGGCATCTATTTAATTTTAGGGGTCCTAGCGAAGGCATTTAATAGATAGGAGGTGTTTATTTGAGAGATGCATTTATTCTCGTAACTTAAATAAACTTAACAAAACTGATACTGTATGATCTCAACAAACATTCAGTCCATCTGTTGTTCAAAGAGCACTCTATCCTTCCATTGAACTTGAAATTGAAAACATAATGTACAAACCATTGTTAATCAAGCTATAAAATAAATGAATTGATCTCCCATGATTTTGCTCTATTTCTCTATTTCCTAGTATTTTGGAGCAATTTTCATGGGAGAGGGTGTCTATTAGACTGGGGGTGTTTATTAGAGAGGGGCGTTGAATAAAATTTCAACAGCAATATAGGGTTTTTTCTTAGATAAAAGGCATTTATTTGGGATCGGCGTTTATTAGGTCATCAAGAGTACAAATACTTGTTTGTTATAAATTTGTAAATATTTTTTTTCTTATTTTGTACATAGCGACATCACTGTTTCTTTTGCGGATCAGAAAATAAAGGCCCACAAATTTGTGCTGGCAGCCCGTGGTGATCACTGGAGCACTAGAGACTTGAATGAGATCAGTGAACTCCAGTTAACAGGTATTTTGTCCCAATAAAAAAAAAATACGGTCAACTCTCTTAATGAACAACTCTGAGAGAAGATTCCTCTGTGAAAAAGACACTTAGAGCTGGTCTCTGGCTTTCTTTACTCCCTTTTTTGTCTCTCTACAAGACAGATGTCTCTCTAAAATGGGCACTTTACAAGTCTGGTCCCAAATGTGTACATCCTGGAAAGAGTTGACTCCTTTTAAATTTGGTTTAAATTTTACTGTACTGCACAGATGAAACTCCTTCATAGCCGGACCCTAAACAATAATTTAGAGGGCATTTTTTATTGTTGATGTGTTGTGAGGTTAGTCTAGCTGTGAGGACAAGTTGGAGTTGTTTTAGGCGTGTAGTCAATCTGGGGTCTTTTCTCCTGTCATTTGATATTAATATTATTTTACCTTTTCATAAAATATTATAAACACTTCATGAAATTAATTTTATGGATAATAAAAATGATGAATGAAAGTTTCAAAAATTCATGTTAATGTTGTCAATGTTTAATGCTCTACTTAATTAATGGCATGGAAATAATTTCCTCTACCTTGATCGCCTTTTCATTTTTAGTCCCAAATTCTCGATTCACTCCAGATATTCTAGACACCAGGAAAGAACAGTGTTATGTACTGAGGGTGGAGATCCATTAGTGTCAGTGAGACTGTGGAGAACCCTTGAAGTGGCCAGATTCCTTCACTCAACCCTCTATGTTTAGGAAAAGTAGTTATAACACAAACAATGTTTGCAATGATCACCCAAAAACTATTTTATTGATCTTCCCAACTTATGCCATAAGGAAAATAATTATATCGAGGCCAGTAAGAAGAATTTGTGTGTTGATCGATATTGGAGACTCGGATTCTGGCTTGTTTTATTAAACTATATGTGCATGCATGCTGTATGCGATTTGCTTCAGCATTACATTTCTTAAAATGAAATTTATAAATTTTTTGTTTTGTGAGATGTCAGTTCCTCAGTCGGTTTGACGTTAATGAAGTGGGTGTACACAGACAAAGCAGAAATTCCACATGATGAAGGATTTCTTATTGAACTGGTTAAAGCTGCCAAAAAATACAGATTGAAAGAGCTCAAAGAAAGGTACTGTATTTAGAGAAACAAGTATCACTATATCAGCCCCTCCCCGAATTGTACAATTATAATATTAAGGCAGTGCCTGGTGCCTAGATGTGGTGCCCAATCATGGTAATTATTGTTGGGCACTTAATTATTTCAACACACCCTTTTTGGCAAGTACCCATTCTCAAATTCGGGCAAGGGGCCAGTGCCCATGTAATGTACAATGAACAAAACTGCTGGCAGTGATGAAATGTATCATGATATGTTAAAACAATAATAATATTTTAAAGAGAGTTATATATCCAGTACCAGGGCTGTCATTAAGAGGTGGGTGCCATGGATTTCGCTCAGCTACTATGAACGTGACCCCCAGCTAATTTCATAGATAAATAGAAGAAAAATAGAACCAGAAGAAACCCCTGACTGTTTGATTTCCCATCTAGTTGTTATATTTACCTGGCAACTTGAAATCTTAGTGACAACCCTGCAGTACCCAAGGTGGGAACATAACAGCATTTTGTGACGGTACCCAGGCACTAGTTCTAGCGCACCAAGTGTGGACAGCTCCTCCAAAGCTTATAATACAGGGGATGTACAGGCTTTTTCTTATAGCAGGATAGGTCAAAGGATCATTTTATTTAAGAGATAAGCTGCAACTGTATAGCCTTAATTTCTTGTCTCCTGTTTTAAATTGTTTATTTTACAATTTCAAAGACCTTTAGTGATTAAGTGGATTTAGTATGAAGTTGCAGATCATTTCTTAGTTAAAGCAAGAAGCAGTAATGCTTACAGTGCTGCTAGGTATAATCCAAACTGCTCAACCAAGTCCTCAATATCAAAGGCTGTAGTTTAACACAGAAACACAAGTGGGATGCTTGCACTTTTTTTTTTCGTGTTGTAGAATTTGTCCAGATCGAAGCTTAATTGACTATCATAGATTCAACCATAATTCTAGATTCACATCATCCAAATACTTGCTATTAAATGTGATAAAGTAAATACAATCATTTGTTCTCATTCAACAAGTAAGAAACAAAACTTTAAGAGGCTCTTTGCTGATGGTCATCATTTCTTTCATCAACCTGTTTTTGAGCTAATAGTACTTGTAGAAATGTTTTATTTGTTATAAAAACTAACCAAATGTCTCAATCCACCAGATGTGAGAAGATGCTAATGTCATCAGTGTCTGTTTCAAACTGCATCAAGTTTTATCAGACTGCAGAAGATATTGGTGCAAAGGACCTTCAGAAATATTGTGCTGAAATCATTTCAAACCATTGGGTGTGTTCTGAGTTTTTTATGCCTGATTTCAGAATAATAGAAATCTTTTTATGCCTAATTTCAGAATAATAGAAATCTTTTTATGCCTAATTTCAGATTAATAGAAATCTTTTTATGCCTAATTTCAGAATAACCTACTTCAAAAATAATTAACCTATAAGGCTTAGAAATAATTATTATGACCAGCAAGTTATTGCTTGCCATTTACATCACTTATGAGAGTAGCAACGTCCGGTAGCACATTGACAAGCTAGCAGATTGTTCTGCTAGTTAGAGTAGTAAGTTGCCTGATACACATGAAGCAAAGTTTGCTACCTTTTTAGTGAGAGATAAGTTAATAATAGTATCAGGTACGTTATCAGAACTGTTGTTGTTGTTGTCTTAATTTGGTGTGACTTAAGAAATGTCTTGATCAATAATTAGGCTTGATTACCAGCTGCTGTTCAGGAACTGAGGCTGTGCCCTCCCCCGCTTGGAAGGGAACGAGCCCTGACCCGTGAGAGCAAAGAAAATTGAACCTACATCTCACCCTGAACTCTACAAAAATGTCAACTCATGTTAGAAGGTCTTTTTCCAGTAATAACGTTCTTACTGTTGAATGTATTTTTGCCATTTTAGCATGACCTTAAGACTGAAGATTTCAGCAGCATGAGTGCTCCACTGTTGTATGAAATGTTTAAATCAAAGTCAGGATTTCCACTACACCTTGCTGTCCGGCATCACAGAGAAGATGTTGTTTTTCTTTTCCTCATTGAGTTTAACTCACAGGTGAGAATGAAGAAAGTTGAAAACAAAGCAATATTAAGTCAATTTAAATGTTGAAGACATTTTTTTCCTTTTTAAATTTTCTCATTTGAAAATCTATTGAAAGAAAATTATGCCATTTTAAAGTGGTTGCAAGCGTGCTTTTCATTTAAGAATCACAAAGGTGAAGGTGTTTTGCTTGAATGTGATCATAGAGACCTTGCTCCCAAGCTAAATTAATTGGTTCGACTTTTCATTTTGCCTTTGGGGAAGTGGATCCACCCTGCAGTTTAAGGGCAAGCTGGAAATTAAAACTGTGGTTTTATAGTACAGTCGAAACTCTCGGTACGGATACCTCTCTAATACGGACACCTATCTGTTACGGACAGTTTCCTATATCTACCATACTCTACTCATACACTTTCCTCTAAAAAAAACCTCTATAATACGGACCCTCTCTAATACGGACAACAGACACAAAATCTTGGCCCTTGGGAGCAAATTCATACAAACTTAACCTCTTCATTACAGACACTCCGGGACAAGGTGTCGATAATTTGTGGTATATGTACCATTTCCTGTCGAACATTTAAACATTTATCAGTCAGTGATACCAATACCAGAGCATGTCTTAGGCGAAGTATTTCATTTTGTTCCAAAATGCATATGTACAGCATGTAACTGGGAAGTACAATAACATCACCCAATTTAGATTCAGAAATTGATAAGACACTGAGAGGTACAATAACATTAATCAATTTAGATCCAGAAATTAACAAGACACTGAGTTTTGGACTTGATTTTACTTACCGAACTCTCTAACCTGTCGGTGGGGTCTTAAAAGTGATGTAATCGTAGTGACCTCTCTAATATGGACACCTCTCTAATACGGACACTTCAGTCTGTCCCTTAGGTGTCTGTATTAGAGAAGTTCGACTGTAATCACATGCCACAGGGTTACTAACAAGGCTTCAGATTATTCATGTGTACTTTGCAGTGTATACATGTAACTTTCAGACTATTTTTCCACCATTGTGACCTCTTATTAAAATAACACAGAGGAAACACATTCTGGGAGAATACATTTAGTATTCTTTAAAAAAAACTACATTAAATGCTTTTCATTCTAGTTACCTGGCAAACTGAATGAACTGGAGCCTTCCAGTGGACAAGTACCTCTGCACATTGCACTCACAGAACAACAAGAAAGCATTGCAAAAACCTTAGTTGGTCATGGCTGTGATGTGAACATGGCAGATATTGATGGCCAGTGTTTGCTACACAAGGCTATTTTGCAAGGGGATGAGTTTTCTGCCATATTTCTTATCAAGAATGGAGCACGAACTAGCGCTGCAACACAAAGTGAACATGTGACACCATTACACTTAGCTGCTTCCTACAAGTGAGTGCATAGCTTGGGCAGCCGGCAGGAAGGAAATTTTTGGCAAAGTGCATGAGAGAGAAGGGAGGAGAATTTCCCTTCCCTCTCCTTTGCCTGCCCTGTGCTTTCCATTCCCTTTCCCCTCTGAATTTCAGCCATTTAGGCGAGTGAGTACGCTTAAAATCATTTCCAAACATGATGTTAATTCCTCCAAGTTCAAAACCTTTAAATAAGGAGCCAAAATGGTCCCTTTGTAAGAAAGTAAACCCATTAGTTGGTTATGATTTAAATCCTGGATAAATGTTAGCTAGCCTTCCAGAGTTCTATCTAGGATTTATCATTTGGGGGAGAAGTCCTGAGTGGCTGAAGGCCACGAGCTTCCTAGGGGATCCGGGGGCATCCTCCTCCAGAAATTTTTTGAAATGAATATGCACTGAGATGCAATCTGGTGCAATTTGAGACACAATTTTGAGAAATGTTACAGTGTGTGCACTGACCTCGTCACGTCTGGATGATTTTTCCGATATAGTTACTTTTATATGCTGTAGTAATAACAATATTTTTGGGGTGGAAGCTGGGCCTTTTTTTGGGGGGGGGGGGGAGCTTCTTCCCCTCAAATAACCTAGATAGAACCCTGCCTTCAGCATCTTGGCCCAAGTTTGCAGTTAAAGGAGATTACTATGAGCTGTAATTACATTGATAATCTTGTGCTGTGCACAGGCCTTGGTCTGCATCTGCCACTTCTGAACCAAGCAGTTCCCTTACAATGACTTCATCAGAAGGAATGGCACGGATTGCTGAGTTGCTGCTACAAAATGGTGCTAATGTTGATGCACAGGACAATGCAGGAAGGTAAGCAAGTAACCTTTGGATTTTATGAGTAATAGCATAAATGCTCGAATTTGCGCCCCCTTTAAGGAAGCATTCCAGTTGTTTTTTTGAGGAAATGATGTTGATTTGGGGAGGGTATCAATAAGGGGTAGAAAAGTTATACAGATAAACTACAATCATGGACAAAAGTCTTGGAACACTTTCGCATTTCTGGGGTGTTTTCCAATTCAAACAGATCCAACCCCTCCCCTCACCCCTCAAACAATGTTGGACGCGTGAATCCAGAATTTTTTCCGTGTTTCAACTTTGTGTAGGGTTTGGCGGAGGGAGAACTGCAAGAAAATTTTCAAGATTATGCACTGTTTTAAGAGGGGACCGAGAATGACAGAAAAATATGAATAATGCAGTACTGTCCCAAGGAATTTTGTCCAGACTCGTAGTTAGTCCGCTAATGGGATCAGAGGCTCCTTGTTGTGGTGGTGGACTGTCTGGTATTTGTCTAGTCTAATTGTTCACCTCATATTTTAATTTTTAACAACCTCCAAATCCAACATTTTCCAACTTTCCAAAATTTTAAACATCCCCCCTTAATTTTTATTCTTTAAAAACATTCAAAAAAAATCATCCAAAACTTTTCAAAAAATTATTGAACCGAGAACTCCAACTTAATTGGGTCATTTTTTGATTTAATGAAATATTGGCCAGATATTTGAGAAAAAGGGCGTTTTAGATGAACATTGGAAAAAATCAACTAAAAACAATGCTTTAAAAAAAAACATACGGCCCCAAAATTGATCGATTTTAGCGAAATTTGCCCAAATAAATAGCCCTCCCCGATTTTCCTAAAATTTTTTCGCTGAAAATATTATATAAGTGCCCCGGTCGAATAAGCGCGATTTTTCCTAATTGCCCCTTAAAACACCGAAATATCAGAAGCCCTGAATAGCCCTCCTTTTCCTTAGTGCCCCTTAATATACTGTATATATATACAGTATGTTCATCTTCAATTCTTACAGTGCAAAATACACAGAATGACCTTTTTTTTCGGTCGAATTTCAAAGAGTCGGTTCCGTTGATATTTTTAGTGGCAAAACTTGGTTACACCAGACCGTTCCAAGCCAAGAATGTGTACCACTTATACAACTTTGGGAAAACGCTGGAAAATATGTTCTAGTTTTCTTGTTTTAATTTTGTTACAGTTTTTGTTCATTTGAAAAAAAAAAAAAAAAAAAAAGACATACGTTATCTTGTGGCGAAGATTTTCAAGAATGAAAAAAGGACCTTCTTCTTATTGCAAAAAATGAAATTTAAGCGCCTCTGGCGCCTATTCGAGTTTTTAGCGCCGGTACTTGTTTTGTCAACTATAGCTTCAATGAATAATCTCGAAGATAAACATTACGTTTTTTTTATTGATTTTAGCTTTTGTTTTTCAGAACTGCTCTACACAGATCCATTGAAGCTCAAAATGACGCTGTTTTGCATGTCCTACTTCAGAAAGCCAAGTGAGTGTGTAGTCTAATTGGAAATTTCACCTGTCCAAATTTTTAAAGTCATTTCCTTGAATTCTCTGTAAGTCTCGAAGCTGCACCGTAAGTACCAAAACCAAAAGCTCTAACCTACTTATTTAGTCCACCGAGAAAGGTGGCCGCAAAACTCGGACCTGAAGAGTATTGGAACAGCTTTGAACGCAAAGAGTGAAAACTGGGTACATTATCTTTAATTTGATTAACTTTAATCCCCCGACTACTTCTTCATAACCAGCTAGCACCTTCGAGGTCTCCATCTGGGGATATCGTGAGAAGTCACGCGCGCGCGGCACGCGGAAGGAGAGTCGAGAGCGATGGGCGGCATAAGAAAGGAAAGCTTGCAACGATCTCTGATACTTTTTCCTTTCCTCTGCCAGTCGCGGCTCTGGTGCTCGCTGTCGAGTTCCCTCAATGATCACCTTGTTGACCACATAAAATGGGGAACCTCAGCGTTCGCAGGTTACACTAAATGAAACTGTGGACCTCCAAATCCATAGGAAAATAGTAGCTTTCTCTTGCATTTGGGGCGCCTTTGAGCCTCTTCTTGTAAAAAACTGGAGTAGAGAATTTTATTTGTAAGAGACAGTTCAATTGGTTTCAGACTCAACCTTGAGCTACGAGATAACGAAGGTCGGGTTCCACTGTGGCTGGCATTGTCACGTGACACAAAAGTTGATCCACTGGATGAAGACAGTCTGGCGGCCAAGCTGGTAAAACACGGGGCAAGTCCTGATGCAGTCAATAATATCACTGGTCAGTAGTCTTACAATCACATGCACTCAGATAAAAAATCCTATATATTTCTTTGTTTTCTATAATCCACGTGAAAAAAAGCATTTAAAGTGAAACAATGAACCTCAGTGTTCAATGTTCAATGTTTAAATCGTGATTTACCCTTTACAAAAGTTTTCGGAAATTCTTGTTGGTTAGTAAATGGGTGTTACCAGATTTTTCGGGTCGTTCAAGTGGAAAATCTCGAGAGGTAATGGCACGTCTGAACAGGTAGTCCTGTTTCCCGGTCGGAATGTACCAAACGGAAATTTGTGTTCTATTTCTTGAAAGCCATCTTTCATACCAGTTTCAGGCTTTCGCGGCCGTTTTTGGTAAATGGGACCGATTGGTGCAAATGGTAAACGTGATTTCTAGGTCAAATCCTCGGCCACGCTTGTAAATAGCTAGCTTGTTGCCTCCTGCTAGTTAGGGTTTTCAATCTTGTTATATGATGTTTTAGTATTTACCAAATCGGTGAATAGCAGTTTTCGCGCGTTGTGATTGTCTCCCATAACGCGGAATATCTTTGGCTATTCACTATTTTGCGACCGGAGCCAAGATGGGGTCTCGTTTGGAGAAATTTTCGGCAGACGAAATTTGAGCGATAAATGATCCAGTCGTACAAACAAAAACCAAAAAAGCGACGAACTTTGGCTTGTCAGTATTTACTGGTTGGTAGAAAACTATTTTCATGCTGAATTTGCAACAAACTCGTAAAAATGCACTTGACAAAATCCCCGAAATCTTTGTAAATTGTAAACAAACTTCCCACTAAGTGACGTTTTTAATTTACAAAAATTTACTTTTTTTCATTTTTATCCAACTGATTTGGTAAATACTAAAACAACTGTCCCCCTTAGAGTCGGTGAACAGAGGTAGATGTATACTTCGACGATTCGCGTCTCCATATATAGTCACCGCTATTCACCTCCCCTTTGGGGGATAGTTGTATACTATTTGGAATATTTGTTTCTAGTTATTTGAATGGAGTGCCTGTAAACTAGCTGGCAAGCTAAGTGCAATTACCTCTAAAAAACGCTCTATCTGAACGGGATTCGGATTACTTCTTTCGAGGAAAACGCAGCTTTAGTGCTCAGAATCAGAACCTTCGTTTTCAGAAGGAGAAACTTCAACATGTAGGTTTGGTTAACAGTTTTGTTTACGCCCCTCTCAGTCTCTATTTCGTTTTCAGGTGATTCATTGCTGCACATGGCGGCTGCATGTGGTCGCGAGGAAGCCGGCCTGTTCTTAGCGTCACATGGAGCCCAACCTAATCACACAAACAAAAATGGTGAAATGCCTTTACACGTTGCCGCTAGAAAGGGGCTCTCTAATCTCGTCTCCCAACTTCTTAATAAGTAAGTGTTGCTGGTATTTGTATCTGTTTAACGCAGAAACAAGATTTTGCGGGTGACTCTGGGTTCCAAAGGTGTATGCTGTCGATCTTCTGATGCATTCCGAAAGTTTGTCATTTTTACACTTCCATGTGGTCTACATATGGTTACTAACGAGAAGAATTTCTGAGGATTTTGTTCTCTTTAATTTGGGGACAAGCCTTTTTGACAGGAGGGGTGGGCAGTAGAAAAGGTTATCTTCATTAACTGTAGAGACCTTGTTCATTTATGACGGCAGTTGAATTACATGGATCATTCACCCTTGGGGAGCAAGGGATGGCGCAGCGTTGAGAGCTCTCGCCTCCCACCAATGTGGCCCGGGTTCGAACCCCGGTATGGGCGCCATATGTGGGTTGAGTTTGTTGTTGGTTTTCTCCCTTGTTCCGAGAGGTTTTTCTCTGGGTACTCCGGTTTTCCCCTCTCCTTAAAAACCAACACCTCCAAATTCCAATTCGATTTGGAACGCACGGACACATTCCAACGAGTTCTTAAAACTCCTGACTGCTCCGTGGCTAAACAAATTACACTGAGTTATTTATTTATTTGTCCATACTTGCCTCGTTAGCGTTTGTAAAACTCCTGACAACTTGTACTTTAAATAAAACCACTAAATGTCATTACCATAAAGCAAACTGAAGAAGATTGCACAGGTGAAAAAGAAGTGTGCTTGGATTTCTAACCAGGGTAGCTTCAAGCTCTCAGTAAGCTATGTAGAACAGCGTCTGTGGAGTACAGTTACCAAATGTTCTATCTTTTTTTTCGTCTCTTTTTAGTGGTGCAAACCCAAATGCCCAGACGACAGAGACAGAAGAAATGAAAGTCAAAGTCGTAGAAAGAGCCCAGGCAAGGGAGACAGCAAAGAAAGAAGCTCGACAAAAAGCCGTGGAAAAGTTCTTTGAAATCCAAACGGCCAAGGCAGCGGAGAGAGAAAAAGAACTTGAACGGCAAAAGAAAGGCGAGAAATTACCATCGACCCAAGCTAAACCATCGCCTTCGTTTTTTTCAAGCATCAAGTCAAATAAAATGAATTCTTTTGAGCAGGATTTGGGTCATAGCACCAATCCATTTGATGAAGATAGTAGTAATCCGTTCCTTGATGACATCAAAGCAGCCTCTGTCGCCGCCTCTGTTTTATCGTTTGGTGGAAACCCTTTTGAGGATCCTCCAAGTTTGGGTGAGTCGAGTAAAGCCGTCTCATGGTAGCCAAGAAACAATTTTTGGTATATTTAAGTAATCAGCAAAAATTGCCATGTAGTACGTGAACTGACGGAAAACTCAAACTAAAGCCGCGAAAGGAGAAAAAGAAGCGAAGAAACAGTGGAAATCTAATCTGAGTGCATTTTTTTTGGCAGTGAAACCTTCTGCAGCACCCTAAAGGCAGAAGATACCGTAAAATTCTGAAAATAAGCCCCTCCATGTACTAGCGCCTCCAAATATTAGCCCCCCCCCAAACCCGTAACGCAAAAAACCCTCCGTTAAATCGCCCCTCCAAATATAAGCCCCTCAAAAAGGGCCTTTGAAAAATATAAGCCCTGGGGCTTATTTTCGGAATTTTACGGTAAGACAAAAGGCAAATGATATTTTCTGCACCAGATGAAAAACTTATGGCTTTGGTTTCTATCTGAACCATTCGAATACGTTTTATAAGTGTGCGGGAGACATTTCGTGCCAGTCCAAAGGATAAGTACATGTAGAACATGTCTTTTAAGTGAATCCGGTTATAAAGGCTGGTTTTCATATAATCACGACGATCGTTCAGATCGCTGGACTTTTTTCGGTGATCGTAGTTGAAAAGAGCCTGCGTAGCGGACGTCGAAAGGGGGAGGGGATTGAAAGGAAGGGGAAAATGGAGGGGGAGTGGGGTTAGAGGGTTTTTTCCCCCTCCCCCTCCCCTTCCCCTTTCTGCGCCAGCCACACAGGCGAAGTTAAAAATGGTTTCTGAGACAGTATTTTTTTTTAAGAAACCAGCTCAATGCCAGACACCTTTTCAAGAGAAACCAGTACAGTAGCAGCCTCTGATTCCGACACTGCTCAGACGCCAACAGAAGACACGATCAACAATCTTATTGAAGATTTTCAGCTTTATCAGGATCCCTACCTTACAGTTGTTATAACAGAGTGCCATGGACGGACTCCACTTCACATCGCTGTATCTGATAAACACGAAGATGTTGTCAACTGTTTTATAGATTTCCAAGGTAGGTTTTAATGGTTTTATTTCTGCACATTTTGTTCGTACTCGGTGTTTCTGCAATAAGTCGTCATGATGATGATGATGATGATGATGATGATGATAATGATATTCCTTCTCCTCCTCCTCACTGGAAGTATTTTGAATGTTATATTTGCCTTATCTTTTAAGTTTCGTTTCCTTTTCGTTCATGGGGTCAGTGTTAGTCTGATTTCACAGTGTTCTTACTAGAATTTCGTACACTGAGGTCCATAGGACCCATAGAGAAGCAGAAGCTAAAAGGGAGTCATGAGGGAGAAAAGCGGGTCACAATTTTTAGACAGTTAACTCGACGTTTTCACAGGTCTGAGTCTTAGATAATGATGATTGTTTTTTAAGACGCCTTAACCAATTAAATTTTGGCTTCTATTATGAGGAAATGTACGTATGTGTACGTTTGTTTACGTACGTTTTGTAATACGTTTTTTATCCTTCTTTGCGCCCTTGGGACCCCTTAGGCTAATTATCGCGTGGCATTTCCCGAAAAAGTGCGTCAATGCCGCAATGCCGCGGTCTGGTAAGAACACTGATTTCAGTGTCCAAATGGTTGTTTTCCTGTTTTGATCTTTCCATTCTTGTCGTCCTTTTAACCTGTGTTTGTGTTTAACTCAAGAGTTTACTCTAAATTTTTTAATATTTTTATCTTGGCCTTGTTATATGTGCGACTTGTTTCGGGTTGCTAATAGCGTTTTTATTTTTCCATTGGTTTGTGACCTCTGGTCAGTGGTAAGCCTGTGCCTGTAGTTATACCGAATATTGCTCTCACCGAGTTTACCTTGTTTTTGCTCCTACGGACAGCTTACCCAAACATGTCACAGTTTCTACATTGGGTTTATATTGGACTGAATGTTTCATTTGTCAGGTTGTCTGGGTAGAGGTGGTCGTCTTCCCATTGTACCAGACTTCAATCTATCCGATAGTGAGGAGCAAACTGCACTGGAGTTAGCCCTGTGTACAGGACAAATGTCCGTGGCCAGCAGGTTGCTGGAGGCTGGGGCGAATATTGAGGTACAAACCACCAGCGGACTAACACTTCTTCACAAGGCGATAAGAAGAGGTGACAATGCTGCCGCGCTTTTTCTATTGGAAAACGGAGCTGATATTAATAACAGGTATTCACCAGGGCCCGCTTATCCCAGCACTCAAACCTCGCTTTACGGACACCCGCTTAATACGGACACCTCATTATTACGGACAGTTTGCTTTGTCCCTGGGGAAAGGAAGCCCTTACATTTTCTCTAAAGTCAACCGCTTAATAGAGACACCTCATTATTACGGACAGTTTTCTTTGTCCCTGGGGAATGAAAGTCCTTACATTTTCTCTAAAGTCAACCCGCTTAATAGAGATACCTCATTATTACGGACAACATGCTTTGTCCCTGGGGAAAGGAAGCCCTTACTTTTTCTCTAAAGTCAACCCGCTTATTACAGACACCTCATTATTACGAACAGTTTTCTTTGTCCCTGGGGAAAGAAAGTCCTTACATTTTCTCTAAAGTCAACCCGCTTAATAGAGACACCTCATTATTACGGACAGTTTTCTTTGTCCCTGGGGAATGAAAGTCCTTACATTTTCTCTAAAGTCAACCCGCTTAATAGAGACACCTCATTATTACGGACAGCATGCTTTGTCCCTGGGGAATGAAAGTCCTTACATTTTCTCTAAAGTCAACCCGCTTAATAGAGACACCTCATTATTACGGACAGTTTTCTTTGTCCCTGGGGAAAGGAAGCCCTTACATTTTCTCTAAAGTCAACCCGCTTAATAGAGACACCTCATTATTACGGACAGTTTGCATTGTCCCTGGGGAAAGGAAGCCCTTACATTTTCTCTAAAGTCAACTCGCTTAATAGAGACACCTCATTATTACGGACAGTTTGCTTTGTCCCTGGGGAAAGGAAGCCCTTACATTTTCTCTAAAGTCAACCCGCTTAATAGAGACACCTCATTATTACGGACAGTTTTCTTTGTCCCTGGGGAAAGAAAGTCCTTACATTTTCTCTAAAGTCAACCCGCTTAATAGAGACACCTCATTATTACGGACAGTTTTCTTTGTCCCTGGGGAATGAAAGTCCTTACATTTTCTCTAAAGTCAACCCGCTTAATAGAGATACCTCATTATTACGGACAGCATGCTTTGTCCCTGGGGAATGAAAGTCCTTACATTTTCTCTAAAGTCAACCCGCTTAATAGAGACACCTCATTATTACGGACAGCATGCTTTGTCCCTGGGGAAAGGAAGCCCTTACTTTTTCTCTAAAGTCAACCCGCTTATTACAGACACCTCATTGTTACGAACAGTTTTCTTTGTCCCTGGGGAAAGGAAGCCCTTATATTTTCTCTAAAGTCAACCCGCTTAATAGAGACACCTCATTATTACGGACAGTTTTCTTTGTCCCTGGGGAAAGAAAGTCCTTACATTTTCTCTAAAGTCAACCCGCTTAATAGAGACACCTCATTATTACGGACAGTTTTCTTTGTCCCTGGGGAATGAAAGTCCTTACATTTTCTCTAAAGTCAACCCGCTTAATAGAGACACCTCATTATTACGGACAGCATGCTTTGTCCCTGGGGAATGAAAGTCCTTACATTTTCTCTAAAGTCAACCCGCTTAATAGAGACACCTCATTATTACGGACAGTTTGCTTTGTCCCTGGGGAAAGGAAGCCCTTACATTTTCTCTAAAGTCAACCCGCTTAATAGAGACACCTCATTATTACGGACAGTTTGCATTGTCCCTGGGGAAAGGAAGCCCTTACATTTTCTCTAAAGTCAACCCGCTTAATAGAGACACCTCATTATTACGGACAGCATGCTTTGTCCCTGGGGAAAGGAAGCCCTTACATTTTCTCTAAAGTCAACCCGCTTAATAGAGACACCTCATTATTACGGACAGTTTTCTTTGTCCCTGGGGAAAGAAAGTCCTTACATTTTCTCTAAAGTCAACCCGCTTAATAGAGACACCTCATTATTACGGACAGTTTTCTTTGTCCCTGGGGAAAGAAAGTCCTTACATTTTTTCTAAAGTCAACCCGCTTAATAGAGACACCTCATTATTACGGACAGTTTTCTTTGTCCCTGGGGAAAGGAAGCCCTTACATTTTCTCTAAAGTCAACCCGCTTAATAGAGACACCTCATTATTCCGGACAGTTTTCTTTGTCCCTGGGGAAAGGAAGCCCTTACATTTTCTCTAAAGTCAACCCGCTTAATAGAGACACCTCATTATTCCGGACAGTTTGCATTGTCCCTGGGGAAAGGAAGCCCTTACATTTTCTCTAAAGTCAACCCGCTTAATAGAGACACCTCATTATTACGGACAGCATGCTTTGTCCCTGGGGAAAGAAAGTCCTTACATTTTCTCTAAAGTCAACCCGCTTAATAGAGACATCTCATTATTACGGACAGTTTTCTTTGTCCCTGGGGAAAGAAAGTCCTTACATTTTCTCTAAAGTCAACCCGCTTAATAGAGATACCTCATTATTACGGACAGTTTGCTTTGTCCCTGGGGAAAGGAAGCCCTTACATTTTCTCTAAAGTCAACCCGCTTAATAGAGACACCTCATTATTACGGACAGCATGCTTTGTCCCTGGGGAAAGAAAGTCCTTACATTTTCTCTAAAGTCAACCCGCTTAATAGAGACACCTCATTATTACGGACAGTTTGCTTTGTCCCTGGGGAATGAAAGTCCTTACATTTTCTCTAAAGTCAACCCGCTTAATAGAGACACCTCATTATTACGGACAGTTTGCTTTGTCCCTGGGGAAAGGAAGTCCTTACATTTTCTCTAAAGTCAACCCGCTTAATAGAGACACCTCATTATTACGAACAGTTTTCTTTGTCCCTGGGGAAAGGAAGCCCTTATATTTTCTCTAAAGTCAACCCGCTTAATAGAGACACCTCATTATTACGGACAGTTTTCTTTGTCCCTGGGGAATGAAAGTCCTTACATTTTCTCTAAAGTCAACCCGCTTAATAGAGACACCTCATTATTACGGACAGCATGCTTTGTCCCTGGGGAAAGAAAGCCCTTACATTTTCACTTAATTCAACCCGCTGAGTTCGGACACTTTCTATGGCCCCTCAGTGTCCGTATTAACGGAGTTTTACTTTACTTTCTTTTTGTCAACGGAAGTTCAAGTTTTTAGAATATAAATTTTCATATTTTTAATTTCATAATGATGGTCTTAAGTTTCGGCAATACGGTCCTGCACGTGTCCCTAGCCTCCGATCCCACGCCAACCTACTTGAAGGAACGGGTAACGAAGACATAAGAACGTTTGCGCAGGAGGCTATTTTTTCCCGGACTCTGCGCCAGTTGGATGAATTTCCGTGTCTTCGAACGTCGGGCGGGTCGCATGGCTCTTGTAATCTTGGATTGGGTAGAATTTCCTCAGCTTGAATTGGTTTATGTTAATGATTATTTTGACGTAAACAGGTAAAAACTAGTCTCCATTATTTTTATCGTGTTCAGGCCAGATTGCATTTTTCTGTGAGCACGTCGTGTTTGCTGTGACTGGCGTGATGTACTAGTAAAAACATGTAGCTTTAGTGTTTCTAGTTTTTTTGTGAACTAGAACAACCAATTCTACCTTCCACGTCTCATTATTTTGTTATTTAGAACCAAAAAGAACAAAACACCACTCCAGCTTGCAATCCAGTGTCACCTGCAGCCCGTGGTAGAAGCTCTTTGTAAGAAAGGAGCAGATTTGAATGGCTGTGATGAGAAAAATAATTGTCCATTGTGGGTGGCTTTGAAGGGTGGACAGCAAGATATCGCATCCACCCTGGTGAGTTAAAGTTTTTAAATCTGATTTTCCTCATTTCTGGTCAATAGAAAAACCTACCACAGTTTTGTCAGTGTTGCTGAAGAGCCATACGTTTCCTTTTAGGTTTTGGCAATACCATCGACCGCTACAACGAACGAACACTTTTTTCGATAATTTTGGGCTGTCTTGATTTGCAGTATCCTCCCTGAGGGTGGATTTCCACTGTCGCGAAATTTTTACTTGCATACGCGTAGAAATTACGTGCGTAAATAAAATGGAGGCAATTTATGAAAGGTCGCGCGTAAATCTAAAAGTTGAAACTCGCTCAACTTTTACTTTCACGCGCGACAAGTAATACGTTGCCTCCATTTTATTTACGCGGGTAGAATTTACGTGAGAACGGACGTAATTAAACACGCGATATGTGAAATCCACCTTTACCCTAGTGTACGTTTTTATATCTCTTAGTGGATATATAAGAGACCCGCAAAATCCTTTCATTATCTTATATAACAACAAACTATTATTTTCGTTATTTGTCATTAGGTGAGGTATGGATGCGACACAGACGCGTGGAATTTGGGTCCTAATGGTTGTACCCAGTCCCTTCTGCATCGTGCAATCGGAGATGGTGACGAGCCTTCAGCGTGTTTTCTTATTCGAAGTGGCTGTGATATCAATAGGTAAATATGTCAGTGCAAATACAGTGCTGGTCAGTGCGGAAGGGCCGCGTTAGGAATAGCGCTTGGCTGCAGAGCGGGAGGTCACGGGTTCGATTCCCGTTCCGGACCAATACTCAAGGCCTTTAAATAACTCAGTTAGAATTGAAGATAATGTCTTTTACCTGCAAACGGCTAGGCCTTCGCGTGGCTTGGGTGACCACGTAGAAATGGCGGGCGGTCCCGTTTCCAGTTGTAGACGTAAAAAACGAGCCTCAATTAGTACTTTTTTGCTAAATACATTGACACTCAAATGAAGTGCTTTCTTACAAAAGTGAACATGATCTTTGCAGTAGAATGAACAACCTAAGTGGTTGAAAGAGAACCTGAAAAAATTCAGACTTGACCAGGAATGGAACCCTGACCTTTGCAATAACCGGACGCAACGCTCTATCCATTTAGCTAATCAAGCCAACTAGAGAGCAGGCCATTGTTCGTAATATACCCGATAGTTCCACCATCAGGGTTCGATTCCTGGTTAAACTTAAAATTTTCAGGTTTTTTTTTTCAACCGCTTAGTTCTTTCTGCGAAGATCGTGGTTGGGAGACAGGCAACCTCGTTCGGTTATTCTCTCCTACCCGTTCCAACGGAGCTCCGTAGGGATGGGTAGGAGAGAACTTTGGGAACGAGGTTGCCCGTCTCTTCTTAAAGCTATTTTCTGGCACTAGAGTCCATTTGTAAGTTCCATCAGTGAAATCAGTGGGTTTAAAATCCCTGCTTGTAAGATATTCGCCCAACCTCCTCTATTCTCGGTTGTTTTCCAGTCCCCGACGGCCTGGTCCTGACGGCGAGGGAGGTGTGGAAGCCTGGGATGGAATGACTCCTCTTCACTTAGCTTGTGAAGGCGGTTTAGATAACGTGGTGCAAACGCTAGTGGAACATAAAGTCAACGTCAACAGCAAGGTTTGTCATCGCTTGAAAATAGAAAAAAAAAAAAATTCTGCAATGTATGATCTACGTATGCAGGCCTTATAGACACGTGACTGCCTGTCAGGGCAATAAGGGCAGTTTCCGGGATGGAAATTCACCATTTCGTTGTTGTGATTTCTTAAATAGCAGTATACAAAGAAATATATAATTTTATTATTGACGAAAGGTCCTACCTTGCACGAATCTCCTGTAGCTAAGTGGCAGAGCGTATGGACTGGTAACCAAAACTCCTGTTGGGAGAACTCGGAGTCCTTTTTTGCGAGTTGAAACATGTTTGGTCCAGTTTTGAGTTCTCCGTGGCCGCTGAATAGAAGCCCTGAAATAGTATTTTTACAGAGTTAGCCTCCATTTAAAGAAATTTACTGTATTCAGAAGTTGCAGCGAGAGGAAGACCTGATTAGAACGCTGTCTATTTTTTTTTTCAAGGGTAAATCCCTGCGGGTATTTGTGAATATTTTAACCTAGGTTGAGGAATATCCTGTACCAATGGCAATGCGTCTCTAGTGCTTGTACGAACTATTCAGCGGTAAATTTAAACACGAATTAGTACTATCCTCGTACATTATATTTCGTTGCGCGAGATAGTGGTTTGCCATTTGTTATCTGTATATTTTAATGATTGTTCCAGGATTCCGAAAGTCGCAGTCCAATACATATCGCCATCACTAGCAAACATCCTATCGTCACCAGGCTCCTACTCAGTCATCCTGAGTTGAACATGAACGTCACGGACCGCTCAGGACAGACACCATTCGCAGTGGCGCTGAGAACACGTGATCATGAAGCCGCAGGCGCAATTCTGGCACGTGAACCAGGCGCTGCTGAGCAGGTGATTTTATAGAGAAATTTTTAGCGGTAGCTGTATAAGCGCCGTTTCTCTGGAACCATTTAAGTGAAAGATACCAGGTGAACATTGACAGCTCCCAGGAGTTTTACCCCTGGGGGTCCCGATTGTTCAAAAGGTAGATAGTGCTATCCACCGGATAAATTTCTATCCAGTGGATAGCGAGATTTGATTTCGAAATTCTCGTCCACTGGATAGTGATTTATTCGGTGGATAACACTATCCAACTTTTGGGCAACCGGGTGCCTGGACTAAAAAAGGTTTACCGCAACGTCCCCTGTAGCCCATCCCGATTGTAAGGTACCCGTTAATAGACCTTCAGGGTTTGAAACTAGTTGTTTCTGTTAAATAATAGAACAAAGGAGTTGTGGCACAACATCTCCACTGTGGAAATTACTAAAAAAGATAAAGAGAAAGAAAATTTGAGCACACTATCAGTATCTTCTGCCTGAAGTTGTTACTCTAAGGATATTTGGATCAGTATGTGTGGTGTTTCAAATTCAACAAGTTTGTTGATTTCTAAAGCATGACGTAATTATCTGGGTCAACAGATTAGCAAACCTATGTACATGATTGATCGAAACGTATGGTGGTCGTTTTTGACGTTCAGTAATGAGAAGTTAAATGTGGGGCGTGTTCCAAATTCCAATCCCCTGACCACTGTCTCGTCGTTGTCACACCTTAAATGGCTGTAGAACGAAAGACAAAAACTAAAATACTTTTTCAAGCAAGATTTGGTTAGTTTAACCAAGCCTGATTAAGCAGCCGAAATTTCATGACGCCACCACTGTTTCCCGACAAAATGACGTCAGAGAAACGAGTGCAGAAATTCCATACTGATGACTTGTCACTACCCAGATCCGGGGTACTGCTTCTGATTGGCTGAAGCAAATTTTCTGCGCGGCACTGAACCAATCAGGAGCACTATCTAGACCTGGGTAATTGACGCGTCATCGGTATAGAATTTCTACGCTCGAAACTCTGACGTCATTTCGCGTGGAAACCAGAGTTGACGTCGCGAAATGGGGGCTGTTTTCTCGGGTTAAGATTAACCGTATGCTGTTTTCATTATTTTCAGTTTGATTCCAAAGGCCGTAACTTTCTTCACTCAGCCATACAAAATGTTGACGTAGAAACCGTGTTGTTTCTCATCGGCGTCTCAGCAAATGTTAATTCTCGAATTCAGGACTCTTCTCACCGAACTCCGCTGCATTTGGCTGTTAACGCAGGCTCAGAGATTATTGTCAGGCATTTGGTAAGCTGTTAAGATTTTCAAGTTTGATTCAGGATTTCAAAACGCTCTGGGAAGTGATAGCATGTGTGATAGATGTATCCTCGTACTTGCGACTTATTGGGTTAAGGACTGGCTAAATCAGTGAAAGAAACAAAGTTTTAAGTTACAATGCATCGCGTCAAACAATTTGCAACCCATATTTTCTTCATAAGCATCTCAAATGGGGTGGCGCGAACTTTTGATATTCCAATCGGAATTTTCGGTTTCCCCATATTAAAGGCAAGAAGCTACCAAGTCAAGAAACAGGACAAAATCATCACGCTCTATTATCTTAGTCTTACTTCTTATATAGTATGTGAAAGCAAAGCTGAGTTTCAAGTCAGCAAGGAGAAAGAAACGGTTGGTTGGTCTGCTTATATTTTACTATTTGTAAGCAAGATTTTAAGGAGGAAATATACTTTACTGGAACTTCAAGAATTATTTATGTCTCCGTGTGATTTTCTCTTTTGCCTAATTCTCCAACAGCTACTTGCTGGCAGTAGGGTGAATGAAGCGGACAAGCATCGTCAAACTTGCCTGCATTTGGCAGCAGCTAATAATACAGCCTCCATCATCAGTGTGCTGCTGGAAAATGGCATTGACCCTGACGCTATGGACGAAAAAGGAAATAATGGTATGATCGATGTCTATTATTTACTGCCGATAATGCTTCGGTAAAAGGAGCAACAAAAACGTTCACTTGTTTCGCAACATTGCTGCAAAATAAGTTGAAAAGCGATGTTGCGCGTTTACCACCCACGTTCAAACCTGTCTTGCAACAAATCAGGTTGTCGAAGGTTGCGAAAAGTTGTTGCAGAAAGTAAGAGTAGTTCTACTTTTGGTAACAAAATCTGTACATGTTTCGCTTTTTTCCGGTCCTTTTCAAACTTGTTTTTGTAGCAAGTGACGTAACTCCTACGTCATTTAATCCAATAAGAAGTCAGTATTCACGCAACTTGCGGCAACCTTTATTTATTGCAAAACAGGTTTGAACGTGGGTGATAAAACGCTCAACATTGATTTTTAACACGTTTTGCATAAATGTAGCAAAACAAGTTGCACGCTTTTGTTGCCGATTTACCGTACATTGAAAAGCGCCGCGCACAGTCTTAAGGTATCTTTGGTATTCGGTACTTCCACATCGCGCCATAATACACTGTTTCCCCTTTCCTTTTCTTTCGCCCTCCCCTCCCCTCCCCTATCCCTCAAACTTTGCTTAAGCATAGATTTTAATGTCAATAGGACGTCAATTTGTCCAAGAACGTCGGGACGTTGTCTCGTTTTAAAATTTCTTAAAATGATTTTAAGTAATATCTGATATCCCTCAAAAACTTTGTTTAACTGTGACAATAGACGGATACCAATTTTTATATCAATTGGACGTCAATTTGTCCAAGAACGTCGGAACGTTGTCTCGTTTTAAAATTTCTTAAAACTGATGATTTTAAGTAATATCCGATCTCCGTTTTTTTTAAGTCAAATATTTTTTTATAGCCAAATATTTTATAAATCTTTTAAACTTACAATCGTCTCAACAGGTATTGAAAACAATGCTCATGCAAAGTTGGGGGCAAACTTGGTGTCATAGGATATATGAAAATGGCGAACTATGGCGTTTTCAAAAGCAACGTCAACCGCGACGACTACAAGAAATTCCAAGTCTCGCATTCCTTGCTAAGACGGATAATACACCTCCTCACCTCGTAATACTTATTCCATCGCGTACGACTCTGATCTATATGAATTTCAAAATGGCTATTAATTTGCACAGTCTAGCAAATCCGTGGTAATCACAAACTCCTTTGAGTACGTTGCTTATAGTATCCCGTGTTGCTTTGCAGCTCTGCATGTGGCGGTGCAGTGTGGTCACGTGGAAGCTGTTCGTGTTTTACTCACAGAGTCGTCAATAAATGCGGAAGCTTACAATGCTCGGTGAGTGACTAGGATACTTTTAGACCCCATGGCAGAGCTTTTCGAAACCTGATGGTAATACAGTCGACTCCCGATAACTCGAACCCTCGCTAACTCGATCCAAAATCGATTTCCTCATGGTTTCCTTCATACCTTTAATTTTACCCTCGATAACTCGAACCTCCCGCTAACTCCAAGTAATTTTTGCTTCCCCTCAGATCATTTCTATATAATCTTACCCCCGATAACTCGAACCATGTATTGAGCGCTTAATAAGTAGGGGGAAAACAGTGTACTAGCGTCCGAAACATTGAATTTTGAATTTCCCATTGACGTGTTGTAGGCTTATAGTTCACTAGTGAAGGCTGATGTTGTTTGTCACAAATCTAAACAGTAAAACGCATGCTCTATTTGGGCTATAGTTTGTTACATTACGTTTTGATTTATAATCTAGAAGTCTCTTTCAATTTTCAGTTAACATTTCTATAAGTAAATGTGATTAAAATGTTCACTGTACGGTAAACAATGGTTTTTTTCTTACTTGTGACTATTTTCTTGAGCTCCCGATAACTCGAACCCCCGATAACTCGAACTTTTTCCTTGAAGGTTCGAGTTATCGGGAGTCGACTTTATACTGGCTGTATGGCTATATATCGGTATCTGCCGTATGGGAATATGTGTAATTATTTATACTTGTATTAATTCTCACGAATAATACTTAACGAAAAAAGAAAAAAAGAATAGCTAAGTGGGAACTATTTATTCTAAAACACAGATTTAAGGAGTGGATTCGTAACTGAATCTTTTGGAGAATTTGTTATCAGCAATATAATTGATCGAAAGCAATAATTGTTGGTTTACTCCTAAATCGTATCATACGTTTTTCTCGTACGTCAGGGGTCAGAATCCACTGCACATTCTTGCACAGTATGCCAAAGACAATGCTGTCGCCATATTTGATCTGTTTCGCCAGTCGATGCCTGAATATCCAATCAACGCTTTGGATGCAGACGAGAATATAGGTAGGTTAACTCTAAACCAATCAGTCAACCTTTGGCTTTGTTCAATCTTGAGGGAAAGTTGCTTTACGTGTATTGTTGTGTAGAAAGCAAGAGATACACTAACCCACGCAGTTTTGTTGTTGCATTAGAACTTGCTTTTTACAACCAGTTCAGTCCTTTTTGGGTCGGGTATCGAGTTCATCTGTCAGTGGACTTTTAAGAGAGATGTGTCGCGGCTATCTCCTCCATTTTGTAAATCGCGTCTTCATTCGCTATGAAGCTAAACGTTAGCGAAGAAATTATTTGTAAATGTCAAAATCACGGCTCTTGCTGTATCAAACAAATGTCTCCCAAACCTTATATCAAACGTTACAAACAACAAAGAGACGAAAAACTCTAACACGCCACCAAATTTTGAAAAAAATCCACAATTGCAGTCTGTCTCAGTCTACTTCAAGTTTGTTCACCCGTACCTTCTTTTGTAGTTGTCATGTTGTTTATACTTCTGTAATCTCTTGAGCGCGTATTTTTATGTTCCACTCAATATGGTGGCAGTTCTCACTGCCTGAATTTGAATAAGTTTCTTGACATGGCTCGGTCAGCTGATGTCATCTACGCATAGTAATTGTTCGATGGTGTCTTTTTTCTTTTCTAGCTCTCTTCCTGGCATACACTAATGGCGCCGCACGATTATGCCGTGAGCTTTTAAGAGCAGGAGGAAGCCTGGCCACTATAAATAAACATGGAGTGTCGATATTCAATGCTCAAGTGCCGACAAAGAAACTTCTCTACACATTGCTTGGTAAGAATATAACTTCACTGTGTACTTTTCTCATTAAATTTATAATTTTTATATCGTGCGTAAGTAACTGATAAAAGCAACTGCGCGTAATTAACTATGATTAAATCGCGTCTCTGGATTATTGATCCTTTATGTTTCTTTACGTAATGTGCACAATATTTTCAATCTAGATATGCTCAATTCTGAACCTCAGTGGATTGACGGACCTGTGTGTCATGAATGCAGCATCAAATTTTTCAATCCGGATTTAAAGATATGCGAATAGTTAGACAATTCTGAACCTCAGGCTTTGGAGTTTGGGACCCCCGGACCAAAGCTACCTTTTACTTCTCTTTGTGTGTCAAAAATGCCAGCATCAAATTCGAATCCGTAGCCCACTAAAACCAGCAAAACGATTCAGCCGCCATTGTTTTGTTTTTTCAAAGCCTTGTCGATTTAAATGGAATTTATAAACCAATCAGAACGCAGCATTGATAATAGACCACCGGTTGGGTTTTATTAATACTAGTTAGTCCTCTTTGCGGTGATTGCATCTGCAGAATTCAAAAGAACTTGGACATTAAATAGAGAAATTTAGGGCCAATTATCATGAAGGCAAAAGAATAACTTCATTTGCCATCCTTTTGGTTTAAAGTGTATGATTATAGTAATGAAGCGATTAGACTATAGCATAGTGCAATTCAAGGTTTTTTGGCAAGTAGGTTTTCCGTTGTGTTGTTTGATTTTACATCTAACACCATCTTTATTTCGTTTATTTTTATAGCCGCCACTGTGGGCGTCTTTTGTGTGCCAAGTGCTCATCAAAACAGGTTCCTATCATAAAATACGAGTTAAATAAACCAGTCCGAGTTTGTGACGTATGCTTCGAAATGCTGACTTCTGGACCAAGCTAGTATTTCAGGATCTCAGAGACTAGAATGTTTAAGATTTATAGCAATGGTAACTCCACTCAATTAGGTGTAACCTTCCAGCCTGTTTATGCAATTTTTTTTTCAAAACCTTCGTTTCTGATCGTTTTAGCAGGGACGCAAGACAAAAATGCACTAAAAAGTGCGGTAGCCAATACCTCTGGTAGAAAGCATGAATTCTAGTGATCTCAATCTCGCATAACAGGCATAAATACCAAATTTTTGGTAAATAGTTTTTGGTCTTTTTTTTTTGTTTAGTCTTCAAAGGAGATTTCGATGGGGCTCCTCTTTATAGACCTGTTCCAATTGAAACTGAGGAAGGGAGCGAGATTAGTGAATCATCCTACTAGAAAATTATAATAATGCCAAAAAGCAGTACAGAATAATCAGTAAGTCACTAAATCTGCGATTATTGCCCCTTCTCACTATGCTTGAGCCCCACATGCATACTGGTCTTATGGTTTTAGTAATGATTAACTGAAACATTAGAGAGCTTTAAATTCTGAGACGAGGACGACTACGAGTACGAGATTTTCTGAATACTGAGTATTGCTCATGCGTGAGCCAGCGTCATTTTGGCGGGAAAACGTAACGGCCGTCGTCACTCTACTACGAGTTTTAGCGAGAATGTCGTAGTGGCGGCAACAAGTTATCAAATGTAAGAAGTTTTACCATTCTGCTATCGGGAGAGGGCTTAACCTCCTTCAGTATAAATAACCGTACTAACATTTTTGGTGAAAACAAGTAAAATGAAGCTTTCCGGGGTGTCTTTTTTTTAGAACATGCACAAAATCTTTAAGTTAAATCTCGTATTCGTACTCGTTCTCGTCTTCAAATCTTAAGGTCTCTAATTTTCTTACGAACCATTTTTGTGTGGGGAATATATCAACATTTCGTTAACTTTGATACTGAAATGAATAAAACTTGATCTGTAAAAATATTTCTTTTATTCAGGAAATTTAGACTGGTACTGTAACATTTTAAAATCAGGGTCAGAATTTATCAAGTTGAGTGGCTTTGCTTGATATTTATTTGCAAGTTTTGTAATTCCTCCAGCATGATTCAAATCAAGCTGGTAAAAAACAAAAGAAGAAAGAAAAGAAAAAATATTAAAGGTTGTCGCAGAATTTGATAGTAAGTTTATATTTAGCGTAGTCTAAATTACTTTTTTAAACTTGTAAAAACGTTCTACAGTTAAAATAAATATTCCTTTAAACGTTGTGTAACCTGTGTTTAATTATGTGAAAAGAGCTGGAGTGGAAGTACAGCAGGCTCCGACCCTAAAATGAAGCATGTACACAAATGAGCGTTTGTGGACCGTTTTAGGTGGTAGAAACGAGAAGCGGTCGCCGTTTTCCGTTACAGAATGGTAGGTCAAGCTGCGCCGCCACTTTGGATTTTTATTTTTGGCAGGCGTCTTAGGTGCATTCTCCCGACAAGCTTGGCGAAGACGTCACATGACGAGCGGAAGCGAGGCTGGAGTAAACAAATGGGCGTTTGCGGAAAAGCTTGCGCACGGATTATGGGGCAAATCAGATGTTAGAGTGAATTTCAGACGATTGCTTCGAGTCGTTTCTCAGATGTCATGTGTGAATCTCTTGAGTGTCCGTGTGCGCGACTTTTCACATAAAAATCCCAGATATTCAGTGGTTTCCAAGCTACTCAACTCACGACTTGGTGACCTCGTCAATATGCCATGCATGTCCTCATTTTTCATCATTTTCAGGTGGGATTTCATAATTTCAAAAAATCAATACAATTTCACAAATCTCATTGTTCCTTATCCTGAGAAAAAAGCCAACATTTCGCGATGCCATCACTGGTTTCCTTTATTTGACGGGGATACCAGTTGTAGCATCGCCAAATGTCGGCTGTTTTCTCTGGCTATTTGTTTCTACATCATTCAGTTCCACAGAATCCCACAACTACTAATTAGGGCATTCAACTTTAATCTAAAGTTCTCTGGTTTTCTATGTTTTGAAATATCTTTTATTGCTTCAGTTTCAAATGCCGTAATTTTGTAACATTTTTCGGACTGTCAAATTCGCCTTTTTCACGAAAACCTACTTGCGAGAATACGCGAAAGCTAAACAGAGCAATAGAAAAAAAAACTAAATTAAACGATCCTGTACTTTTTTTGAAAAAGGATATTCTAATTAGCCCTATCTTTATAATCGCCAAAATGATAATTAACAAGCAGCGTTTGATGTGTTGTTTTGATAGAGTTTGGCAGATGACGGTATCAGTATCAAAGTGATTCGACCTTGGAAGAGACGTAGTAGCTAATTCCGTTGATGACATTTCTTTAATTTGCCTTGCGAAATTAATATATTCACTAAGACGGCTAAACATCAATGATATAAGTTTTTTCGACATGTCCTCGGTGAGATTTTTCGTCTAGCTTACATAGCTTTTTCTTGCTTTAGGTAAAGGTGAAGAGTGTCCTTCCTTTCAAAATCGTTTGTTTATTGGTGTTGTTTATAATTTTTATTTATGGTGCTTTTTTTAACAAAACCGAGATAAAGCTTTCGTGTTAAACTTTTATAAAGCTGGAATAGATCGTTTTCAGTCACATGGAGAGCAGCTTTGCAAATTGCATAGAATAAAAGAAAGTTTTAACATGTGAAAAGAGTTCAATTCCCACTGGATTTTTTGTGTACACAAACATGGCCGCCGATTCATTGTTTTGTACACAAATATGGCCGCCGTGACGTCATGTGAAAACGATCTATTGTGCAACACGGTGTCAAACAGAGAATTTTGCAGTAGCCTCCCACGCAGACGTTGTTAAGGGTTCGTCACGCGTTCCTTCCCCACGAACGTCTGCTGACTCGAGCGGAAAAAAAACGTAGACCAATCACAGCAGACTTCCAGATCTGGGAAGTGCACTTTGGACCTTAAGAAATTTCGCGCTTGACTTTATAGCTCCAGAAAAGATGAGAAAGGTCTCATGAAAGGTGAAGACCTTACAGTTTTGAGACAAACTACACAGCTAACTCACAAGCGTTCTTACTAGTGGTTACCCTTACAATCTCATTGAAAGAAATTATCTCGGAGGTTAAATTTGCTGAACGGAAGTCGGCTTTACTACAAAACAATAACGTGTGAAAAATAATTCTGCCTTTTGTTCAGTCTTACAAGGGCACCCCGCCGTTGCATCACCCAAAGAACAACTTTACGAGCAAACGACATCTAATCCAGCCTTTACAGAGAGAAATATACAAAAACCCAATGCTTATCTCCTAGATTCTCGTCTCCTCCTGCAGCAAAAATCTTTGGTCACGTATCTCTCTCTACTGAGCTTGTACGTATGTGTTTGGCTTGTCAACACTTTGACTTATACAGCGCCGATTGGATCTCCGATAATCTGCATGTGATCTCCAGCTGATATTTGCGAACAATGGGAAAGGGATTTATCTTTCGGTTCAGCAGGCGTTCGTTGGGCAGGAACGCCTGACGAACCCCTAAGAACGTCTGCGTGGGAGGCTAAAATTAGTGTACGTGTACAGATTGGCCTGGAATTCTCGTCGACAAAAGGGAAACAAGATTGAAAAAAGTTAACAACCCACGCAGAATCGTTTGATGAGTGTACCATTTTTCCGTTCTGTCTTTTTCTTTCTTTTTGTTTTCGGACCCTGTATCCTGAATGGTACTGCTATTAAAATCACGGAAATACGCGCTGTATCCGTGCAATGGCCGTTAACTTATCATCAGAATCAAGAGTCATTTCTCGTCTTTCGTCTAATATTCATTATCACCATGGTATGCATTTAACAAAAGAAGAAAGTGTTTTTGATCATTTTGCCGTGGTTATTAAAAGAAAAATAAACAAAACGCTTTCAAGTGCCAGGCTAATTAAAACATGGCTCCCCATTACAAATGGCAAATTTAAAAGTGAGGGAAATTCTCTCTTATAACGCATTCAGCATCTATGCCAAAACACTGATCGATGAAATTTCAGTCCAGACGTAAGTTTCTGATGGGAACAGCCATGTCATAAAAGATTGTTTGGGGATTTGCTTTTTCGTTTATTGGTGTAGATTATGGCTATTTGATATGTTTTAGTGACGGGACGCACGTTCAAAAAACCATCTGTTAGACTAGCAGATTTTTACACCAAGTCGCCCCGCAGTGTTAATTAATTGTTAGAGAATTATATTGATCGTTCTTCTCATTTTAAGTGTCCGAAAAAAAAGAGAACCTTGAGGTTTCGTGGTTTAGACAGAAGATTCTAAACGATGTGTGCTTATATAATTATTATTAAAATATCTTGATATTCTTGTAAATAGTGCGGCTCGAATCATAACACGATTTGCAATATAAATATCATTATAAAATACGGCTTTCTGTGCATACATCTTCAGTTGCTAAGGACGGGTCTCATTCTCGCTTTGACGTTAAAAAATACTAAACAGTGAGGAGTCACTTTAGTTAACTCGTGTTAAGGGTGATTGCAATTAATTTTACCTTTGTTGAGAAAAAAAATGCTTCAGGTGAGGCTGCAGATTTTGTAAGTATGATCACCGATGTGTGACTGTGTACGTGTACAAGCGATCGTTTAGTTTTCTTTGTTTGGCACAACTTTGATATATTCGAAAGACTGCTACATTCGTAATTGGAAGGCGGCATTTCTATGCGGAAAAAGAATCTTTTGACAACTCTCAAAACTCGTTCGTATTGAGCTTTTTATTTTTGATGACAAACGCGTCAATGTTTCTCCGATGATTCGAGCAATATATGACACGTATCAGTTGATAATATTTAGTTTTGCCTTAATTGTTTAGTTCCCTTCTCTGCTGTATTTCTATTTAAATTAATAGAAATTCTTTATTTTGGAGCTTACTTGAAACAAAGACCAACTGTAAGTGCCGGCGGTTTTTGCGTCAGACCTAAATTACTTTTATTATTTTGAACCGCTTTTCATTACTTTTAGATGATAAATATATTAAGAAATTTCGAGAAAAAACTGACATGTAGTTTACCGAGTATATATTAAAATAATACAATATGCATTGGTAGCAAAGTACAAATTCTAGAATTTTTTAGCGCACTTTCTCTCAACATGGCGTGATGAAACTGACTCTGTTTGGATTAAGTATAGGGGTTAAGTAATCAAGATCGATGTTCTCATCAGTTTTAATGTTAAGGCGTAAAATACATTCTTCAAATCATTCTTTTCTGATATATTCACCACAAATTGCAATATGTTTGCATTGTGTCATTACGTTTGAAATATTGGCGGAATTAGTATGCCAAACGTCTTGTTTTAAAAAAAAAAAAAAACTGTAATTGATGTGGAATTTTATGGTGTGCAAAATTAACTGAGATTAGTCGGAATCAATAACAGTGGTCGTTGCTTGGAAGTTTGCGCTGGGCTAGGTATGAGTAGAATAAACTAAAACTTGGAACAGGCCAAATTTTTAACTTCCGCTAAGCGAAATGCGGCGTTCTACAAGTCGCAGCGCAAATATGACAGCCATCCATGGAACACTTCGAGGCTGATAAGTACCGCTTCAAAAATTAAGCTGATTCGAAGCTGATGGCTGAGAAAATGGCGGAAAAAGTCAACAGAGTAAATTTGTATCTGACTCCATTTTAGACTTCCTGTTTACCAAGAAAACTGTTAGCTATAGCGGGCTCGATAAACCACGTTGATGAATTTGACAAAACCGAGGTAGAAAAACTCAGTTTCAGATATATTAATTTCAAGATTATGATAATTTTAGTTTATAACCATAATGAAACGACTAGGCCTGGTTCAGACGCCGTACTTTTCCGCATGTGCCGAACCTAATTGAACATTAAGTTTGACTTTGGAGCGACACTGCGGGCGCGACATTAAGTTCGACAAACGTTCGACAGTCTCTGTCGAACTTAACGCTTTTGGCGCACCAAACTAAAACTGCCGTACCAAATTAATTCAGACACCACTCTTTTGCATCACTTAATTCAGCAGTTAGGTTCTGTACATGAGTGCAGCGGCGTCTGATCCGGGCCTTAGAACCAATGTGTACTGAATGCGAACAACCAAAACTCTGGCTCAAAAAAGCTTGTAAAGTCAAGATTGGATGAAGTTACTTCGTTTTTATCATTGCACCTTTTCCTCTGAAGGTTTGAGATGCATACTGTTCTCCAGCTTAGAATTTGTTCAAATTGGGCTGCGCAAGGAATGACCAAAAAGTGAAGGCAGTACTGAAAGGTTTAGGGTAGGAGTTACCCAGTCTGTCCTAGTAATGCTACAAAACTGTCAGCTGCGGCGAACTTCGAATAAACACGTGTAAATAAAGCTAGAGAGCTTGGTCTAGACCATCATCTCAAATTAAGCCACCAGAACCGCTGTCTGAGCGAAAAAAGGGAGAAACACATGAAATTCCTGAAAAAGCCCTGAAAAAGTGCTACAATTGAATGGATTTTGTTTTCTTCGTATGTGTTTGTTAGCTGTTTTTCTTTCATATTGCTCACTGTACAGAAGTAGATTTTCAAGCTATACTCAGTTATAAGGACGTTACCTTTATTACGTGTAACTACCATGACTGCATGCGAAAAAGACTCACGCACAAGTTATAGAAGGGTTGGTAGATGCTTGCAATTCCAGTGTTACTTGCAATTTAGTCCTGTCTCATGCATAGTCGTTAGCCGTTTGACTTGAGTTAATAAGAACTTTTTCATGGAAAGGAAAAAACTGATCTGATATGTATTTAACAGGTGCGTTCAGTTCTTAGTGTGTAGCCAAAGCAACCTCGTGAGTTTTGAAGCGATTTGGTGTATAGTGAGACCGAAAGGCATTGCTAGGTGAGAAGGCTAACACTTGGTAGAATTAGTGTTTATCCTTTAATTTATTTCAGCTTTTCTGATTGTTTTTCACCTTACTTAGCAAACTCGCTTGGTTATAGTTTGAGTTAGGGCCACAAAAATACTGGTTCATTTTATCTGACAATCTCAACTCAAATCAAGTGTGGGCTCAATGAAACCTAATATTAGTCAGGACGTATTTCTTTTGATTGGCGATTTAAGGCGTAAATGTCAACAGAACTAAGGTAGTTATTAACCATTTCATTTCACACTTCTTTTGCAGGGTTTTGTCTGCGCTGTTGTGAATTGAAAAAGGGTCCAACAATGGTGCACAATGAGTTAAAGTAAACTTGAATGAAAATCTAATCCAGTTGTCGGGGGGGTCGGTTTGTTTGCATTAAAACAGCAATTCCGACCGCGATACCTCAGCAATCTACACTTTCGAAATCTTAATTGATTTACAAGCCTAATGTGATCTGTCAAGCGCTTTATTGTGTGGTATAGAGAGTGTTTGAGTTGACGTAAATTTTGTTTATGATAGCTCGGTGTTTATAACTGACCCACACAAAAGCAGGATGTGGTGTTAAGGTTAACGAACAATTCAACTGAAGAAAAATGGAAAGGGCAGTGCGGTTTGAAAACAAGGAGGACTCGGAAAATGAGGAGAACATTGCGTCTAAAGTTCCCCGAAAATCCCAACATGCGTTGGATAGTTGTAATAGCACTAGAAAAGAAGCTAAACCAACGATTAAATTCAAGGAAGGAAATTCAAAGTCCGAAAGCGTGGAATCATTGGGAAGGTGGAGAGCTGTGTCCAAGCAAATTCGCAACGCTGTGACGGTGAAAAACGTCGTCAAACCGTCTCGTACTCGACGGCGCTCAACGTGGAAGTCGCCAAGCACTGTGGACCCCTTTCTTCAGAAATTTAGCACGAGGGATAATAGAAAAAAAAGTACGCCGGATCGTAAGAAATCCAAAGCCAGTAAAAGTTCTTCTACAGATAATGTGCTACCAAAAACGGACGATAACAACGATGCTGGTTCTACGACCATTGAAATTGAAAAGGAACTTGATAGCGAATTAACAAGCGGCTCGATTTATGAATATGACCATGCTGGGCTCTGGAAAGACAAGAGAATTGTTTTTGATCCCGATGGTATACACATTTGTGTTTGGTTTTACGTTCTTGTTTTTGCTATTCGTTATAATTTGTGGGCTTTGATAGTGAGGATAGCTTTCCCTGAAGCCCAGAGTGGCTGGCTCAAGATAGCGTGGTTTCTACTGGATTACTTCTGCGATGCAATTTACGCCTTAGATATCGCTATTTCTGCTAGAACAGGCTATCTGGAGGAAGGAATTCTTGTAACAGATCCAAAACTAGTATGTATGCGGTATATTCGCTCTGCTGAATTTTTCGCTGATGCCGCATCGTTGCTTCCCACAGATATTTTATATGCGGCCTTTGGACCGCTTCCCCACCTGAGACTCAACCGAATTATCAAAGCATATAAGAGCTTTCGGATTAAATCCGTAATGGAATCACTTGCTAACTATCCGACCTTTTTACGTGTCTTTTTTCTCATGCATTTAATGTTTCTTTTGATACACTGGAACGCTGGATTCTACATCATGGTATCACGATTTGAGGGATTTGGCTCCAATGATTGGGTCTATAAAGGCAACGGCTCACTATATCAGCAATATCTACAATCATTTTACTGGTCAACACTGACCCTTACAGCTATAGGGGACCTACCTAAGCCAGCTACAAATCTAGAGTAAGTCTGTTTATATTTTGTCTTGTAATTTATGCAGCCTGATGGGTTTTATAGCCTGTTATGAAGTAGCAGGTTTCAATAGCGGATTTGTTTATTTGTTGAACTTAGTGGGTGAACAAGGTGAAAATGAGAATCTACAAAAGGATAAAACTCCTTCGTTTTCTTAAAAATAAGCGCCCAATTGAGCATTGGTTTGAAAACGCGCTTTGTTGGAAAAGTTAAATATATTGTATTCAATCAGATCATAATATATATATATATTTATTTCTTTTCTGTCAGAAGAGCTTAAGATTGTTAATAGTACTTTGCATAATTTTAGTATTCTCGATTAGCACATCAGCACGGGGAATCTGCGATATAAATAGAAAAACCGACGAGGGTTTTTTACATTTTACATGTACTGTGCTCTGCTAGTAACTCGAAAAACAGAAATCAGAGTAAATGATATAAAGTCGACTGCGAAAAATAAAGAAAATTTTGATATGTTTTTTTTTTAAATTAAACTTGAATATTTCAAAAGCTATTAGCTCTACCATTGAATATTATTGTATAAAAAAAATTAAAACTACTGATTGTAAAGAGAAAAGAAAAAGGAAAGAAAAAAATTCGAATTGAGATCTATCCTTTTTTTAGCTTTTAATTTTCGATCAAGTGAGTCGGAAATGAACTTTATTAAGCGTATTTTACCCGTGTCCTTAATTTGACTTGTTTTTGCCTAAGGGACTAAAAGCGCTTCCGTAGAATTTAAACCGATGGAAATGAATTCTTGCTGCGTCAGTATACGTTTTATGACAATAACATTTAACGAGTTTTTACTTGAAAAGGCTTTCTCCGATGAATAGCTTTTAGCTGTCAGGACTCATAAACGCTTAGTTTATACATAAAAAGCTATCGAAAGTACGAAATTTGCCGCGTTTATTATTACGAACCCCTGAAATTCTCGAATCAGCTGTCGAATACATACGGCAAGGTGATCGAGTCTTTTCTAAAGCACGAGACTAAAAGCTTAAAATGCTGGCGTTTGTGAATTTGAAAAACAGTAACAGCAAAAGTACTATGAAGGAGGCAAAATCGAAAATCAAATGCATAATTGGTTTCCTCAGTTTATTGTTTACGGTTAAATTAAATGTCAGATATTTTTCGATGCAATAAAAATAAAAGCCGTATTTTCAGCCTTAGTAGTGAGAAGCCATTTTTTCAGCTTAGAGGTCTGTCCGCATTCAAGCTATCCTGCTTGTGTTAAAAACGTTTTCTCGTGAGTAGAATGCTTCAATTTGGGCGATTTTCACTTCCCCGTACTCCAACCTCTAAGAACCTCTTTGACGTTTGCTTAAGATTAATTTCATCCCTTGACAGATTTTCGAAGAGCCACGTCAATCATTTTCTTTTAACTTGTATTTTATTCAAATTTTGAACGGAGCAAATTTTGAGTGAGTTGTAAATGCCCCCATTAGCGAAGCAGGTGTTTGTCACAGTTTGTATGAAGCACGGACCTTAATACTTATTCCTTTAAGCTACACTTTACCGCTGTACTGTTTCACTCATTAGGTTTGCGTCTTTTTCCTTTTAATTTAGTTTTTTTACTTTACAAATTTAGTTTTTCTTCTATATATATTATTTTCAGCCCGCTGTGAAGGTAGAAAATAGTTTTGAATAGTTAAAAGAACCCGTATTTGTAATTTTTATCATTTTTTTTGTAAATGAAGAAATAAATAATTAAAAAAAAATAAAATAATGCACGGACTTAAAGTCTTGTAAATCGTTTCTGTTTGATTTGCACAATTGCAAGCTAAGTGTAAAAAAAAATGTTTTACAGCAACAACTGTCTGATCCAAAAACTGTCTCTCTTGCTGTAAGCAAAACGCAGGAATAAATAGCCTGCGTAGCAGGCGTTTGGAAGTAGTGGGCACAAAAAAACAACGGGCGCGCGAGAAGGAGACACGCGTCTCCCTCGCGCGCGCCCGTTCTCTCTTTCGCCCGCTACTTCCAAGCGCCTGCTACGCAGGCTAAGGAATAAAGGGCTTTTAGTTTATCTTTATCGTCTAGGATATATCTACTTTGAGGCCTGGTCCTACCTCTAGTGCCAGAAGCAAATGGCAAGTTAGACGATGCCAGAAGACAAGGCCAAAGTTAATATTCTCAGCAGAAATGAAGACAAAAATAAAGCAGGAGCTAACGTCCTCAGACACAGTTAAAAACTCCTTCAACCAGTCCGCCATTAGTCTGCCATTAGTCTTTGAGAGGTACCTACAATCGGCGACAAAATGTTTGGGACACTATACTTAGACTCAAAGAAAAAAGCCATCTCCAGCCGTCCTCTCTACCCTCCATTTCAAAGTTGAGGTTTTTGTTTTTTCTTACAGGTAGCTCGAACAGTGGCAAAACATTCCTTGTGAGGGGATGGGGAGGGGAAAGCTTTATTTTCCCTCCTTCGAAGTCGGAAAAAGGTCACAAAGGCCCTTTAAGGCTAAGAGTCTTAACTAATTTTGTCGCCAATTGTAGTTACCTGGTCTAAGCTCTAAGTTCCTGAGTACAGTTAGTTCTCGGCTCCAGTTGTTTTTAAAGGACACTCAGGTTTTCTCTAATAATGGTACTTAAAGGGCTAAGGGAGTCTTTAGGATTTGGTCATGGTGTGTATAACTAGATTTTTGCCACTGAAACAGGACCCTGCCGCACATACGGTTCAGTATAAACCTCAAAATGCTTGTAATTATTATAATTTCCTTTCTTATTTCCCAGATACGTTTACACCATTGCTTGTTATTTGACTGGTGTGTTTATGTTTGCTACCATTGTTGGTAAGTATCATATGGGAATGTTTTGCCTTTTATAATTCATTGTTTAATTGACCTGAGAGTGAGGTACGAAAATATAGGTTTTTAAAATATGCAAAATTCAAGTGAATCATGCATTTCCCCCAGTCATTGATTGCGATCGGCTTATTCATGGACCAGAAAAACAATTATTTGCCTCCTTATTTTTTCCTGCCGTCTTTTAGGAAACGCAGGAAGTATCATTGTCAACAGAAATGCAGTCAGGATGGATTTCGAAAAACAAAGGGTTTGTTTCCACTTCTCCTCTTGCTGCTATTTGCATTTTGTTGTCGTTGTTGTTTTTCTCATCTTCTCAAGGCATTTTTTATTTTAATTTTGGTCAGAAATTGCGGTTTGATGATGATGATGATGAGGTTTCAAATCTTTAAAAGCACCGTCGTCCTTTTTCAGAAGGCCGGGGCTAACCCTTTCTTACAAACATTGAACAAGCGCGACTCAAGCCGGTTTAGGTTCTTATACGCATTTTCGCTGCTTTTATTGACCCTGCACAGTTTGTGAAAATATGTTGTTTATAGGTTCAGAAGCTTTTAAGAATTTGACATTCTAGTGGACAAATAAAGCCAAATGAATTAATTCTAATGAATATTGATGAATTTTGGACTTTTAATAAAGCCTGATAACGATAACACAGCGCTTAAACTTGCAGGTGATGATTTTGTTTCTTTTTCGTCTTCGGCAGGAAAACACCAAACAGTACATGAAAAAACATAATGTTCCAAAGGATTTACAGAGGCGGGTGGTAATGTGGTATGACTATTCCTGGGCAAGGTAACAACTAACACGTGACATTTCATTTCATGATCAGGCGACAACCAAGCCTATCTAAATCCCCTCCCCACCCCCCACCCCCCACCTCTTTTGTCCGAAAGTGTCTTGTAAAGGATTTCGCTTTGGAGAGTTTTCATCCTTGGCTAGTCGATGTACATAACCTGCAACTTGGATCACATCAGTTGCTCTAAATGTAATTATAACTATAATTTCAAGAAAAATGTCACGTGATAAAACACTGAAGTCAAGTGACGTGTAAAAATGTTTCGTTTCCCATCGCCCCGTCTCTTGTGATGGTGGGTCGGTCGGTCGGAAGAAAAAAGGAATGAACAGTTTTACTTTTGTACATTAAATCTCACGTTTAATTGGAAGATATATGATCAGGTGGTAAAAGATGTATATTAACATGAGTATCAAATTTCTAAACAACCTTTAAAAACGTAGTATCGATTTTAATTAAAGACAAGGACATCAGATCATACCAATTGTTATTAAAACAAGATCGTGTGCTTGTAAATCAAAGTACTTGCTTCTTTGACCAGTGAATCTGGAATTTTTTTTTTTTACTTTTCGAAAAAAAATGGGTCGATCAGGCGATGGGAAACGAAACATTTTATTAGGATGGCCTCAACGTTTTTCTTGGACTCTGGTCGAACGAAAAATTTTAATAAAAAGGCTTACTATAAATTTGTCTTGAAAGTACCTAGTATTTGCAGCAATCTAATACCCCCAGGGTATGAATTGCGCAAACGTTAAACAAGAAATACAGCAGATAAAGTTGGAAGTGATAATAGTGGGCAAATCTTGTTTTCTGATGTGATGCAGGTTATTTAGCAATTGAATGTCGTAATGGATAAGTAAACCCCTTAGACTTCTACTCATGTTTGACCACATGAATGAACAATGGAAGGAAACTGCGGTTTGACGGCGAGTAATACTCCGTGTCCGTTTTTAATGACTTAATAATAATTGTATTAATTCCTGCAAGCTTTGTGTTAGTTTTGGTGACCCGAGTTGTGTCCGAAGTATTCGATAGGATGCGAATATTAAAAAATTGCCATGATCCACAGGTCTAGTTTTGATTTGACTTTCTTTTCAGAGGTCGGATGAGTACTGGCGGAGGGGACTTGAACTCTCTTACTTTGCTTCCAAATAAACTGAAAACTGAAATCGCTTTACATGTGAATCTTGAGACACTGAGAAAGGTAAAAAGTAGGTGTATGATGTTCAGTTACTCAGGGTATGAAATTCATCTTATCAAGAATGGTTTTAAAAACAGTGCATTTTCACTTTGTTTTTCGTCGAGTCATTAGGCAGACTTTTCTTTCCTTTGAATATTAGTTTTTTCACATGCATAACTATACTCTGAACGATTGATTAAAAGGAGAATGATCCTTGAGTACATAATTTCCATGGAAGCAGAGCACCTAACCCAACGTTCACACTAACGTCTCACTGGGAAAAATTTTAGGTAAGAGTTTGGTAGTTGGGGAATTTCACGTACCAACCTTAAAAAAACTTTCGCGCATGAGTATTCAAAATTGTGATCTTTTTAGAGGACAATACTTACCTATAAAACGAGAGCTAGAATAACAATTCTCAGAAAGTTATTTTTTCTACTCTGCTTAACACTAGGGAATAAATCGTTAATTCAGTGTGGGTTTGAGTCCTTGTGCAATTTGATTTCTGCCTTTTGTGTTTTTCTCACTAGGTGACCTTCCTGCAGAAATGCCAACCTGAATTTTTACACGATCTCGTTCTGAAAATGAAACTACGAATTTTCACTCCAGGTGACCTCGTTTGCAGAAAGGGCGAGGTTGCACGAGAGATGTATGTCATAATAGATGGAAAGATCGAGGTTATAGGGTAGGACGACTTCATTCGATTATTTTTAGCTTCATTGAAAATAGATAAGGGATCGAAGGTGATTCCTTTTCTTTTAAATTTATAGATTATTCCTGATTTCAATTGTTTATGACCATGCATTTCATTACAGGGATCAAGGTCAGGTACTTAAAGTGTTATCTGGCGGAGATTTCTTTGGGGAGATTGGAATACTCAGTTTGAGTGAAGGTCAAAACAGGTGAGATTAAGCCCCGATATCCACTTACAAATTCTCGAAACTGATCTCCATACATTTCCTTAAAGAATTAGTTGAGAGAATTTGATAACAGATCAAAGCATTTTTTCTTTAGTGATCATTTTATTAATTCTCATAACCATTTCTCTTGGCAACATATGGATATTGTTAGGAGAAAACTGATGTTGATAAATATTGGGACTTAAAGGGTGATAAATAAAGGAAAGAACTCTTAACCTAGCTTACAACAGAAACTGATTTCCCAGTGAGGAAACATAGATTTTCACTTATTAAAGTGAGACGGTGTAAGACTCTCTTTCTATCGTTCAAGGTATTCCTGAAAAAGGATGCTTATGTCCATATTACCGCCCAATACAATTTCTTTAGTGATGTCAAAACCATTAGGATACCACGGACTAGTCGACAAAAAAAATTAACAAACCTGAAATTGTATTTCTGGTGTTTCTGATAGCTTGCGAGCATGGAAAATAAGTTTTGTTCTCTTATGCGGATGCGTAAACATGCCAGGGGGAAGTCTGTTTCCGCTGGAAAAGCTAATGTTGTTCTTGAAAACACATTCGGCTTTTGGAAACAACGTGACACAGGCACATCTGCAGACACCTAGTAGATCCTAGTAGGAAAAGCGTGTCTCGCCAGCTACCAAGGAACCGAATGGGAAACCTATTTTGACTCCAGTCTTCGTTTAAATTTAATTTGTGGGTTTAAGAACATTCTGCGTTATTTTTAGACGAACAGCTGATGTGAGGACAATAGGATACGTGGAGTGCTTTGTTCTTTCAAAAGAGGATGTCTTGTCTGCTATCAGAGACTACCCTGAGGCTCAGGTAACAAGAGATTGAAATATAAAGGGTTTCGTTAATCATTTGTGTCACGATTGTCACATAGATATTGATCGCGACGTTTCGACCGCGTACTGTAGGTTTCATCCGGCGATAGTGTCGATTTACTGAAAGGAACTATTTATACCACCATGTTGTTAGTGATTGGTGTATCACGAACCTCGCCCTTAGAAATATCGACAGACGTCTGAGTTCCAGTGTTGTTTTAGTTTATCCGACCAGTATCATGGAGATTATGCCGAATTAGAACCAAAAAAACTAAAATTAGTTTCTTCTACCACTTTTACATATGAATTGCTTCCAGGCAGAGTTACTTGATATCAACCAAATTTGTTTGAAGGTAACATAGAAGTATAGGGCACTTCGAATTAACCTTTTTGGGCAGGAGTCTCATTAACTTGCGGGAAAGTGCGGGGGAATCTCAATAAGATAACGCAATGTTCTAATTTAGGAGGTTTAACGGGTTTGGCTGGTTTTCAAGTTATTTCTAGGTCGATGAATGTCTCAATTAGTTTTCGATTGGTTGATTGAAAAAAAACAAGAGAAGCATATGTTCATCTCTTGAAGCTTGTTGTCGAGGGAAAATTCGGTGTCCTCTATACTACTTGCTATCGGTCGGCTTGCGTATAAGCATAACCCACCCCCTCCAAAAACGCTTATTGATTGTGCGCGGATCACGTCAGTGATGGGCTTATGTACTCTTCAATAGCTGATAATGTTATACTCGCTAAAGAAATATCAAAAAGTTTCAAACGTTTTCAAAAAACGCAAACGTTTCGGGTTTATGGCCCTTTTTCAGTTCTTCTATTCTTCCCTGCTTTCGAATTTAAATATAGCGATTTCAGACAAAAAAACAGAAAGAACACATATTCAAGCCGCGTGCGCGGAGGAACTTAAGAAGGGTGCTACGCTCTAAAAGTTTAATGCCGTAAGTATTTCTAGTAGCTCTAAGAGCCCCTGGACCGTGATTGCATGCAGTTTACCCTAACCTCATCTGGGCTGGGATATGTTTCTACCCAATATCGAGAACTCTTTTATAAGTAAAAAATTATCACTATTAAATCATGTCTCATTCTAGGCAGTCCTTGCCGAGTATGGTAAAAAGCGCCTCGAACGACAAAATAGTTCACAAGATCCTCGTCTCGTGGACATGGAAGACAATGATAAAGAGAGAGAAAACTACTGTAACAGCCCAGATTTCATTGATGCTGCGAGCAGTCCTCGCATCCTGAAAAGAGATTCATTACAAAGTTTGACCCACAACAGGAAACGTAACTCAGATTCAATGATCAACTTTCTTCCAAATGGACATTGTAAACGAAAATCGCTGACACTAGAGCCAATTTCCCCGCGGTCAGGACGTTCGGTGTTCCTGGAGCCTATACCCCAAACGTTACGTAGAGGAAGACGGGTGTCTAGCGACACAGTAATACAGTCAGCGCAAACTGCTTGCAAAAGCGATTCTGAGGTTAGCAGCAACAGCGACGAGCTTATAGCGAAGATGTTTAGAAATACATGTACAGAGGCCCTAACCTTTCTTAAGAAAGTTTTTGACGAGAAATTAGTAAGTATCTAGCTCGGTATGACAGTTTTAAATGCTTAAAGTGCCCGTCACCCTTCAATTTGTTTTCTTTTGGTAGACTTCCATACCTTTCGAGAACTCATTTTCGAAAAAAATTTCCAGAAATATTGAATCCTTTTGTTTTTACGAGCGCTAACAGTTACTGAAATTTTTAAATGTTTGCGCGCTATAAGCCCCGCTGGACAAATTTTTGTCTCGTGGGCTCATTAGGAACGAGCCATGGAGAAGCGTCTGATATTTGACACTTTTTTAGCTGTGACGTAAGAAATGGACACCATTCCAAAGCACGAAGCATTGAAAGAAGGAATCTTATGCACGCTGATTCCTTTCTCTTTATTTCGAGAGTTGCTGCATCCAGAAACCACACATTTTTCAACCATTTTCTCTGTTTAACAATAACGCATTACCGCGAATCTTCGCATATTTTTGCACAATGTCCTTTTCTTACGTCACGCTCGATATTTGGACACATTTGGCCGTGTGGGGGACTAATGCGAACGACAGGTAAAAATATCGACAAGACTGCCTTCACTTTTAGCGCTCGTAAAAAAAAGGATTCAATATTTCTGAACATTTTTTTCGAAAATGAGTTCTTGAAAGATATGGAAATCTACCAAAAGAAAACAAATTGAAGGGTTACGGGGCACTTTAAAAGTGCTTTCTTAGTGTTGAATAGGGGGCCTTTATTAGCTTCAAATTAGGTCCCTCTTGATCCTTCTTTACAGTGCAACTGGAGGGGTCAAAAGTAACGATTCAGAACAAGCCGAGTCACTCTGTCACAGACGGGTCACAGGGCGAAGTATAAAAAGCCCCCTGTATCCATTGCTTTCAGTAATTGACCGTAAAATTAAATTATATGACTGACTCCACAACTGGATAAGATGGTGCTATTCTGACCGCCCGATTTTGTCCCGCAAGAAAAAATTCTCTTGGCCATATCCTTTATTGTCCAAGCTTGCCAGTCAAGATAACTAGATATTTGCCTTGCTCGGTTTTTAAAGCTTTTAATGACCTCGACTTCGTCTCGGTCCAAAAAAAGCAAAAACATAAAAAAGAGCCATGCCAGATACAACCATCTTGGTCTCAAGCTTTCAAAATAACGCATGTTAAAGTCAGTCCTTTTAAGTTATTTCCGCTGCTTTGCCTCACAATAACGAAATAGTCGTTGGTCACCTTTTGAAATGAAAAGCGTAAATTCCTTTGTATGTTTACTATCTCATTTTAGGCAAAAGAAGTAAAAAACAACAACACAATGCTCAAAAATATGGAAGAAGAATCGAAACAAAAAGACGAGAGAATCTCTCATCTCAGAGATTGTTTAACAATAGCGGTAAGTGAAAACAATACTTGTAATGCCCGCAGCAATATTTCAATTGAAATATAAAAAATTGCAATATTTTATGTCCTGTTATATGGTTTATTTTTTAATGCACATTGGTTAAATTAACTGGCTATAAACAGGAAGTTAGAGCAGGCGAATGGTTTGTCGACTCATTTTTCAGGCGGAGAGAGGCGAAAACTGGACCTGCACGTCTGCGTTCGCAGGCTTGGCGCGTCAAACAATTTTGGTAATGAAACCACGGGCGGGTCTTTCTTTCTTATTTAGTCTTTGACTTTCAAAGGGCATGGTATGAGTGGAAAGAGGCCCTGCCTGCCAGGGAGGGTCCCATGTCGCCCGTCTGAATTTTATAACGACTCCTGTCGGTGTTTATAAATGCTTGTCGCTTATTTTCGGCTTTGCCGTCACTGTCGCAATTTGGCCGAGGGAGGTTGTCTCTTGTCGCGATTTCATTTTACGCGCTGTCGCTACTTTTTGGGCCATGTCACTTGTCGGAATTTACCCTGGCAAGGCCTCTGGAAACGCATCAGGAGTTAACTGAGGCGGGAGATCGGGGGAATATCAATTTTTGTCATGAATGTGTATAAAGGGTTTTGTTTGTTGTTTGTCGCACGATCATCACTTAGATCGTTTCGACCGCGTTCTGCAGGTCAGTTCATAAGGCGATATTGTCGATTTACTGACTAGGACTATTTTTACCACCACCATTGTTGTTAGTGATTAGTGTATCACGAACCTCGCTCATGGTTGGTGGGTTTCGATTGAAAAACATTGTTGGCATTATTAGAAGAGGAAACTGTTCCCTCAGCGGCCCGTTGTGGTAGCGATCCACTGTTCCAATTTTTGTTTGACACCTGTATGATATCGCTGCGGTTTTTAATACTAAATAGTGAGGTTAAAGAAATGGCAGCCTCATCATCTTGCAATGTTGATAATGCCGCGTCCATTCTGTTGCAGGAAAAAGAACTGGATGAATGTAGAAGACGAGTGAAAGAGCTGGAGGCAGAAAATTATATTAATGAACAGACGATACGGAAACTACAGGACCAATCAGAGGTGATTAGACAGATTGTTATTCTGACCACAGCATATCACGTCATAGCCGTAACCACAGGGAAACCTCTAACCTTTGCCCCAGGGTATCTTCCAGTCCCTTTGGTACCCTGGGAACGAGACTGGGAACCCTCTCCAATTCATAAAGACTCCCCCTTGAGGATTTGAGACATGAACACTGACCCAACTTAGAGAGGTTTCCGCCCATTTTGTGTCCCAATGAGAGCTAAAGTGTGGAAAAACAAGTATATGGCCTTGATTATTCGCGTCTGAGAGCTGTTTATCTCTTGATTTCGACTCTTCATTTTTCAGTTCCCAGGATGTCCAAAAAACGGGTAGAGAAGCGATGAAACCGTACTTAAACACTGTAAGTTTGCAGAGCAACGAGTCTCGGTGACAATAAGCACTTGCACTTGCACTCCGTTGCTATGGTATAGCATGCCTCAATCACGTGCACAATGCTTAGTATAGACTTAATGCCAGCCCTTCTCTCTAAAAATGAAAATCAAAGAATTCAGCTAATTATATGTTCTCGCTATGTTCGGATGTGAAACTGGGCACTATACCTTGGGCTTCTTGAGGTTGACAGTTATTTGCCGAACTGAAGTAAATACGGCTTTTTTATGATTGGTGTCTGAAAGCAACTATTTTCTTGCTGCTTCTCAAAGCTAGCCTGTCGTCCTTTTGTAGTATAGTTCAACGGTCTTTGACTTGCCATCGGAATGCTTTTAAATTCATGTTGACTTCGAAACACTCAACCGCAATACTTTACCGCAAGATTCTGTGAAAAAACTGAATAGCTCATAGGCTGTCCTGACTCCCTCCGGCTGACCGAAAATGCCACTGGTGTCTCGGCTCACCCCGAGAAAGAAATACAGCGGAACTTCTCCTTTGGGACAACTCTATTCAGGGGGCACAAAATTTAGGTGGGGGACCGCAGGTAGGTGAGGTAACCCACGGCGGGTCACCCCGCCTATCATGTAAACGTGATCAAATTAAAACGAGAGATTATATGTACGGGTGGGTTTCCCCACCTAATCGGGTTACGTCACCTACCTGGGGTCCCCCACCTCCATGTAAACAGGCCCTTACTCCCGGAAAAATGTTCACATAATTCTTGCATCTGTTACCTCCAACCTTGATGGGACACCTCTGTTCAGGAAAGTGACACTTTTTGGGGGGTACCCAAACAGGGACTGACCACAAAT